GAGGAGTAGTGCGGACACACAGACAGACAGACAAACAGACAGACAGGAAAAACTTTTCAACCCCACAGGAGTAACAGGCTTCGCTATCGCTCAGCCAAAAACGTAGCCCTTATTTTGTGGAATTTAAAGTTTCTGGGCTTCTTAGCCATTTCTCAGTAAAAGTAGATGACATAATGCAAAGATATGCCAGGAGTTCTGGGTCATTTTTTGGAAAATTTTCACTGAATTACAACTATTTAGTAATTTTTTCAGGTGTCTTCGTAGCAAATAATCAAACCCAATACAGAATATTTTTTCTGAGAATTTTTGGGTATTCTTGGGCACCCAAGGAAAGAATTTACCGAGTTTGGTCGAAATCCGAGAACTCGATTTTGGGGATCGTGCGACTCAGGAAATGATTAACCCATCCTCTCGTTGGCGCAGTCCACTAAGGGAAGTGGTGCAAAAGGGGTGGAGGAAGGGGCATGGTAGGCAACCCACCTCGCGTGGGTGGTCTGCTTTCCAGGCGCGCGCGCTGCGAACCAGAGCCAGAACTGGCGGCCGACCTGGATGGAACTGACACTGGCGGCGCCACACCAACCAGGTGCGCAGAAACCAGATCCAGGAATGACGGCCGACCTGGACCGCAGGGCGACTGTCAGCCGTGACCTGCCAGGGGCGCAGCAAACCAGAACCAGGTCTGTGGCCGACCTGGGTGCGGCGCGCAAGCTTTCTGGTCCGATCTGGTCTCTTTTCGACGTCTTGGAGCCCCGAAGACTCGTTTCCAGGACCGAGAGCGCCAAACATTCCGAACCGTCCTGGATCTTGGTGACAGAAGACGCCAATGCCACCCGTTTCCAGGACCAAACGGCAAACTGGTCGAATTGCGCCACCCCCGTCCTGGAAACAGGTGTCCTGGTTACTCGAGGACCCGTTCCGGTCCTGAATCTTTCAGGACCGAGACTAACCGTGCATTGGATGGATTGCCTCATTTGGTCACGTTAACGCCCGTGTGAACTTTTTAGCAGATGATACCTTTACTTTCAAAGATACCTAAAACTACAACTACAAGACACATAAAAGTGTCAGCTAGCTTTTACTCGAGAGTCCAAAAACCAAGTGCGTATCCTAAGAATATAATGGGGGCTGGCTGCCGGGGCGGGATGGTGCGTCTGGCTGGCTGTGGCTGGCTGCGGCGCAGCCTGCGCGGAATTCGACAACGGCACCCCGTCCTCGCGCGCGACGGCCTGCGCGCAACATTGACAATCCCTCCCCGCTACAGCGCAGAGGCACCGGATGCTCGCAATCCAACGGGCACGGCGCGGCGGTGCAGGCCACGGCACAAAGGACTCAGATTTTAAATACTATCTTTGGAATGAGCCCATACTACCCCGTAGAAGAAAACCAAACGAGTATCACCTGCTTTCATTAACGTTCGTTGAATGAGATTTTTTTTGTGGATAAATTTCTTTATCCCCGAAACGGTAAATTTACCTTTTGAAGGATGAGGGAGAGGGGAGGTGAAAGGAAAAAATACCATGAGAGTAAATTAAACCATGCAAGACGAATTCCGTCGATAATCACTTATGCACTCAGCCATGCTGTTCATAAATCATGTATTTAATATGTCATGTATTTTGTTTTTGTAGTTCCTTTAAAAACAGGAATGAGATTTTTAGACGGCTTTGAGTGAAACGAGTCGCGGTGAGAGAGGGTCTGAAGGCTCGTTTGAGTGTTGTTCAAGTCTAGAAGACAGCCTAGGTGCGTTGTAAAAACTCCATGTCACTTCATGACAAAATTATGGATGACTTGTAATCACTTACAAATGGTGACAGTTACAAATTCATCAAAGCTCTGGAACGTGACAACTATATCAGCATTGTTTTGATTACATTCATGTAAAAAATAGCCTTGAAAACGTCATCAAGTGAAAGTCAAAATTTTCAGTGTCTCCCCTCCCGCTTCCTTTCTCTTTCTCTCTCTCTCTCTCCCTCTCTCTCCCTCTCTCTCTCTCTCTCTCTCTCTCTCTCTCTCTCTCTCTCTCTCTCTCTCTCTCTCTCTCTCTCTCTCTCTCTCTCTCTCTCTCTCTCTCTCTCTCTCTGTGTGGCGGTAGCGTTTGGGAATCGCTCCACCAATCTGGCGGCGTGTGCGTTGGCGCTGGCCTGTTGCTCGACTGCACCTACAATGTAATGCACTGTTCGGTTTTCGAGCCGAGAAGCGCGGTGGACGCGACGTGGCACTGCACTTAGCCTTTTCCAACTTGTTGAATATGGCAGTGTACCCGCTGCTGCAGGTCGTCCCCGCCGTGCCACATGCCACACGCCAAGCCCCGCCGCACAGTGGGCCCGGTGGATGCGGTCAAAATTAAGGAATCGTTTTGAGCTCCAGAGTCGCTAAATGGGACTAGGACCGAACGTATGACCCCACAAAATGGATTGCTCTCCGAACGAGGAATCCATTGGTGGGGTCCGTTCGAGTCATGTTTAGCTAGAGATTCAAAACGCGCCTGGAGTTTTCGCCGCGTCCACCGGTCTTCTGGCCCACTGCGCCGCCAACCCCGTCTGACACTGCACTCGATGAGGACTATCGCAATTCACTGTGACCGCACATAATGGCGTACGACGGGCCAGCCAATCAACGGCCGCTATTTGCCAGCAAACACGGGTATCTGCACAGAAGCAGGGTGGCGATAAGCGGCGCACGAGTGCTGCATCGCCGCAGCACTGCGGGCAGCACTACGGGCAGCACTGCCGCACCGATGTCCGATTACGGCGTAGCGGGCCATGGCGGGTCCACGTTGTAATCGGGGATGGGGCTCCAAATGCGGGGGATGAGATGAAGTTCGGAATGAAGCGACGCCACGGCGCTGCTTCCGTCACAGTGTCACATGCACGAAAACAAACCTCCGGTTTGCGGCGAACGGGAAACGCCTATACTCTACAAATCCAAAAGCGGACATTGTATGCTCTACCTGGAGCATGCCTGCAAGCACGCTCCAGCTAGCGCATGCCTGCCAAGCATGCACTAACTAGTGCATACATGCCAAGTACACGCTTACTGAAGCATGCATCTAGTGCATAAGGGATAGGGAGTTGTCTGCATCAGGAATAAGCGTGTACATGGCATGTCTGCACTAGTAAGTGCCTGCTTGGCAGGCGCGCTAGCTAGAGCGTGCTTGCAGGCATGCTCCAGGTAGAGCGTACAATGTACGCTTTTGGATTTGTAGAGTACCAAAACCCCGACTTGCAGAGTTTGGCCGTCCGGAGGTCTCGACAAAGGGAATGGCAACCCGGCGGGAAAATGTCGCGCAGGCTGCGAGCTAGTTGCTAGGTCAGGACTCCTGCGGCCATGCCATGCCGTGCCATGCCATGCCATGCCATGCCATGCGGCCCGGCAGACGACAACACCCTCCGCTCCGCCCTGTCCGGCCCTGTCGCCTCGTCGCGAGCCTCGTCGCCACCTGACGGGGAAGCGGAGATAGGCGTGAGGTGAGGGGATTGGTGGTCATTCTGCATTGATCGCTCTCATAAAAGGCTTGTGGGGTCAGGCCGTCAGCCCGTCTCTCTCTGTCCACGTCCTCGCACGCTCGCCCCCTTTGTTCCTCGGTGCCGGCGAGCTTGTCGCCTTACAGTGTGCCCGGTGTGCCGCACGGCTCCTATGCTCTGCAAACTCAACAGCGTACTCAGTACACTCTCTTTAGAGTGTACTCATGAGTACACTATCTTAAGCGTGTACTCATAAGTACACTCTCTTCAGCGTGTATTCGCGAGTACACTTCCACGAACGTGTACTCAGCTGCATATATTTTACCGACCTAAGCACACTCCGGCTGCAGTGTACTCAGCTAAGCACACTCTCGTTGCAGTGTACTCAGCTAAGCACACTCTCGTTGCCGTGTACTCAGCTGAGCACACTCTCGTAGGAGTGTGCTTGTGAGTACACGCCGAACAGAGTGTACTGAGCACACTGTAGAGTTTGCAGAGTGTTGAACGGAGAAATGATAGACCGGAAAGCGGGGATTTTTGTCGTTTTTTGAGTTGTTTTCTTTGAGCGAAACTTCCAAGGGAATGGATAGTGGAATGTAATTTCAAGCCCTTCTCGTGCGGCCCGGCCGTTTCGGTGACGAAGTGAAACCGACCAAGCCTGTGAGCTGAGAGGTGGCTTCCATGCGTGGATCGCGGCCAAGGCGAACCAAGGGGACTTGTTGCCCGTTGTTCTTCCAATAAGGAGGGGCCGTGGCCAAAAAGTGCCAAGTCCATTAGCAAAGGGGCCAAGGCGCCTGGAGCGCTGCGAACAGGCTCTGATTGGTCCAAGAGATGCACCACGGCCGAGGTCCGAGGGGCCCAAAACGGTGGCCCCGCTAGCCATGCGCTAGCCCACATCAGCTGGTGGCCAGAACAGCGTCACTGGCCGACGTCGCGGCCTCGCGGGCCGCTTTGAGGAGGCGAAGGGTCGCGTCGTAAGGCGTAGCCAAAGCCTAGCCGGCCCTAAGGTTGGGGTGTGATAAGTCAAGTCCACAGGTTAGCTGGATGCTGGCGTGAAGGGCGAGGGGGTCCGGCATGACCGGGCATGGCCGGGCATGGCCCGCACGCCCAGGTCCATGCTCGTCCACGGCGTTCGTTGCCTAGCGTGGCGGCGGTGGCAGTCCTCGGCGGGGGTGGGCGCCGAGAGAAGGAGGCAAGCCCCAGCGGGGGAAGGGGTGGGGGAAGGGGGAGGCAGGGCAAGTCCGTAGGGGCCACCGCAACACGCACACGCGCGCTCACACCCACACACGCACACTCTTACACGCGAGCCTGCTCGCGGGCCAAACCGTCTGTCAGTCCTGCCGCGTACGCACGCACCAATACACATGCAGGCGCGCCAGCATACACACACACTCACACAAACACACGCACACATGCAGAGCTACTTATGACCCTACTGAGAACCGGGTCGGGATGGGCGGGAGATGCACACACACGCGCACACGCGATCACACTGACATGACGCATGCACGCACACAGTCAACAGATGACACTCACCTTCGCAGCTGTAGCCTTGCCCGATGAGCCCCCACAGCATGTCCCCGCAGTGGTGGCAGTAGGTCGGCCTGTGGTACGTCTTCTTGGTGAAGCTGTGTCCGAGGCTGTGGCCGTGGCCCGTCCCGGTGGCTTGGCCCGTGGACGAGGCCGTGGCCGTGGCCGTCGCGTCGTGCGCCGTGGCGGACGCCATCATCCCAGGCGCTGCTCAGCCTGCTCAGCGCTCGCGTCGCGTCGCAGGGCCGTGGCCGTGGCCGAGGCCAGCCGCAGCCGAGGCCTGCCCCAGGCGGTGGGCCAGGCGCCACGATCTCACCGTGCTATCGCGCACCGTGCCATATCACATGTCTAGGTGATCTCGGAACCGAACGCGAACATGGTAGCGCCTGAGGGAGCCCCTGCAGCAGCCCCTGCAGCTCACATGGCACGCCCAGAGGCACGCCGAGGGGGGCATTTCCTCCCCGCGCAGCTGACCATCACTCGACCAGGGATAGGTGCCTCTCCGCCTCCTCCGCGCATGGGGGAGACTCGGACGGCCGGGGCAGGACGACACCGCACCGCACCGCACCGCGCAGACGCCCAAGCGCCACTGGGCCCACTGGGGCAGGCAGCCAGGCTGCCAGGCTGCCGCAGGCACGCAGGGCTGTCCCGCTACGCCGCCAAGGCTGGGCTGGGCTGGCTGGGCTGGCTGGGCTGGCCGGGGAGGGCGGCGAGCCGAGCCAGTCCGCGGGGGTCGAGAGCACACGGAGCGCGAGAGGGCTGGGCGGGCTGGGCTGCCCGGGTGAGGGGGGCGTGGCGGCGGCGAGGCGGCAGCGAGGCGCGGGGCGGCACGCGGCCCCAGAGCCCGACCGAGTTTCGGGATCACGGCCTCCTGAATGCGCTCGCGGCTCCCCCTCGACGCTCGCAGCGACGCGCCCCACAGAACCCTTCACCGACACGCCAAAAAAACGGAAACGACATCTCCGAAAAGCCAGCCGACTCGCCAGCACGCCGTTCCTCCCTGCAAAGCCGACGCCCCAAGGGCTGCGACTCTCCCCGGCCGTGGCGCCGTGCCGTGGCGCCGTGGCGCGCGAGGGGTGTGGGGCGTCGAGCCGAGCGCGGCCGAACGCGGTGCCCGAGCGTCGCGACGCCGAGCCGAGCGTCGGGCCGTGCCGTCACGGGCTTTGGGCTGCGCTAGGCTGCGCTCCGCCTTGCTGTCCGGGGCCTCCGCACAGGGGGCGCCAAGTCGCAGCCAGGCCATCAATACTACGTAGTGACGTCACTGCCGCCCCTCCACCCCGCGGCCGGGCCCGCCCCTACCCGCCCCTGCGCGCCGCGCGGCGTGGCCAGGCGTGGCGATGGTGGCGCAAGCACTCAGCCCTAGCGGCCCAAGCCCTGCCAAGCCCTGCCTCGGCGGCCAGGCCCTTGTGGCTGTAGCGCTGTAGCCCTGTGCGCCCCGCCCTACCCGCCCATCCGCTGGCTGGCACCTGTCACAGGGTCGGCTCCTCTGCCCTGTCCGAGGCCCCGCAGCCCTCGGCGCCCTCGCCCTGGTTGAGGGTGGAACGGTGGAACGGCCCCAGACGAGACGAGAGGTCCATGCTGGATCAACGGTCGGGGGCTCTGATTCAAAGCGCCAGCCTCCATCCCCATCCCGCATCTGCTTTCCAACTCCGCGAGAGACTTTCACTTGCCCCAAACCGCAGAGCACCCCTCGGTACAGTACTAACAGTCAAATCTGAAATGACCTCCGGCCCCTTTCCCCCCAAATATAATGAGGACAAAGCTCACGCCCCACCGTAGACGGATTGGAACGGTGGAAAAGCGGCCACGCTGGACCACAGCCTCCCCCCCTCCCCCCTTGCGTGCACAGGGCCGGGGTGCGCCGTCCTGCCCTGGCCGAAGCGCATGTCATTTCGAAACACGAACCTGGCAGAGGCAGATCGCATCAGAGCACGTGCGAGTCCATAGTGAACAGATTCCGGGTGAGAAATGTAAGAAAGGAAACGGTTTTCTTATTGACTAAAGCATATTATTTATCCTATTAAATACATTTGTCGGTCAATTCACACTTTCTCAACAGGAAGCAATTACAATAAATGCAAGGTCACAAACACTAGATAAAAAAATGGTTCAAAATTACCGGCTGGCGCACAGGTTTCAAAAAAAATTGAATAGTCTCCCCACAAGGAGATACAATGCGGTATGATCACACAATGGAAGATGATTTGAAGATTGCTGGGTGTTCTCAGTATGGCCTGCTGCGATGATCCCTTCCTCTGTCACTGCAAAACAGAAAACAAAATGCAAAGTCAAACACCTGTTTAGACTCGAAGCCATTGTACCAGAGCCGCTTCGTGAGATGGTAAACTGACCCGCCGCCACCGCCGCCGCCCATGCCTCCCCTCATCGGGCCGCCGCTGCCGCGTCCCCGGAAACCGCCGCCCCTGTCGCCACCGCGGCCACCGCGGAAGCCGCCCCGGTCGCCGCCGCCGCGGCCACGTCCCCCACTGCCACCTGCAACAAACATCGCCGTTAACACACTCCATCCCCTTGGGCCGTGGCAAGCCTGTGCCAGGAAGGGTTGCATTCATTGCAATGGCAATCCAAGCAGACAAGACACTTACGGTCGCCACCGCCTGCACCCTCTGGCCTGTCTTCACCACACCGATTGCACTGTTGTCTCCAGGCGAAATTAGTGTTACTGCAGCTAGGATTCGTACACCTCCAATCACCCTCGCGACCAAAGCCTGCAAATATTTTTAAAAATTGAAATCAGACCAGCGTTAATATTGTAAAGGGAGGATGGTCGTTTCGTTTTAAGATAATACTGACCGCCGCCGCCGCCTCCACCACCGCCTCCTCCTGAACGGTCTCCACCATCGCGGCCGCCAAATCCACCCCGGTCTCCGCCACGGTCTCCGTAGCCTCCGCGGTCACCGCCACGGTCACCACCGCGGTCACCGAAGCCGCCGCCTCCGCCACGGCCGAAGCCGCGGCCACCTCCGCGGCCGCCTCCCCGCATGCCGTAGTTGTCCCGCTTCGTAGCGAGCTGGACTTTGATGCTGGAGCCCTTGAAGTCCTTGCCTGGATGAGGAGTCAAAAATCATGTTAGAGTTGTAAACAGACGAACGTGCTGCAAGCGCGATTTGGTTGCACGCGATACGTACCATCAAACCATTGAATGGCTGATCTGGCTGTGTGGGCATCATCATATGTGACTGTTGCTTCACCCTTGGACTTTCCAGTGTTCTTGTCATTGTACATCCAAATCTTGGGCCTCATAGTTTTCTTGTCGGTCTAAAAGAAACACACGTTTCAGTATCTCACTTGGAAAAGCGACTGCACGCAATGCAGTTCCACCATCCAGTACAAACCTTGATAATTCCAATAGCTCCGAAGTGCGTGCGAACATCGTCTTCAGTCAAAGAGGGGGACATTCCAGATATGAAAATGGTATCTTCCTGTACGATGAAGTCATCCCGGCCGGAAGATCCTCTATCCCCGCCGCCGCCGCGAGAACCTCCGTCGTAGCCACCTGATGCAAGGACACTTGTTAGAAGGTTGGCACAGTAACAAATTTCGCAGAGCTTATGAAATAGTTAAGGCGAGTAGGGGCAAGTGGGAAGAAGTTACTTTTAAGCTAACTATGGAAACAAGGGACAACATCACACTTTTGGTTTGGAACCATGTGGTCGCATAAAATTAAAAAATGGCCATCAACTTAAACCAATTTGAACCTAAGCCTAAGAAAATACTGATGGCAATATTGGTTTCATTTCACAGACATTGATAATACTTTTATTTTAAAGCGGCCAATAGTCCCAATAGTAATGCCTTTAGTTCTTTTCTTTAAGTACACCTGTAAAATGCTTGAATATGTGCTCATGAAAATAAGATTAGCCTGTCTAAATCTGCTGAAATTTTGGTGGTACTAGTTTTGGGGGCTACACTGGGGTAATAGGCAGAAGGATGCGAGATTCAAGACCCATCCATATATAAATGCTAATAAACCACCACAATAGTTAGGGGAATTGAGTAGAGGGAGCATTTTGCAGATAGCAGAGAATGAAACTGCAAAGGGCACAATAGCCTCATTTGAGGAAACATAGCATAAGATGTGCCCCACAGTAAACCATGCATGACATTCACACCACTGTTCTTAAGTTATCTTGGCCTCAAGTCTCAAGCCATACCAGAATGAAAATAACCGCAGTTGGAAAGGCAGTCATTGATTGGTACACACACATGTACGGTTCGATGGGAATACCAGTCTTCGACACTACACACATCCTTCAAAAAAACCTCACCTCACAACCTAAACTAGACTTGAGGCTGATCTATGTTAAACCTGGCTTGCACAGGTCACAACCACTTGGTACTGATACACAGTTCAGCTAAGCAGATCAAAATGTTAAAAAATTAATTTCAGCAGTTTGTGATTAAGTACCAATTGAGTACCAATTGTGAAGTACCACACCACCTTGAGGGAAGTTGGCTGTTGCAGCACCAGTAAGAACCACTTGTCTCATTACTAATTAAACCCCCATTAAATAAAATGAGAAGCATCTTAAGAGTCACTGACCGTCTGTGACCATCTGACATCCGTGAGTCACTTATAATCCTCACCAGATTCATTCTTAAGGCACACAACACCCATTCTTGACCAAAAACCAAAATAGTATTATAGAAATCAGTTAAGTTGAACTTGAATGTACAATTCACAAGATAACCAAATGTACTTGTAATAAACAATATAAAGATATTAGTAAAAAAATTTATTATGTAATTTTATAATGAAAATAAATTTACTGTTTAGCAAAAATCATGGGACTGGGACTGGGAATGAGATTGAAGATTTCCATTGTTACTTAGGAGTGCCCCCTCCCCTTTTCCCCACCACACACACACACACACACTAACACACAAACAAAACTAGACAGAAGATTCAACCCACTGTAATTTTGGAGATATTGATGCAGACTTGGAATTACTAAAACTTGGTAAATACCAATTCACATAACATGATGTAATTAAATTTACCCCTAACTAAAATAAGCTTATAAAAAAAGAGAAAAGCAGAAGGCAGTCACCAGCTGCAGTTACCTTTATTAAAACCACCTCTGCCGCCACTGCTAAAACAGATGCAACACAACATGAGCGGGGCCGCGCAAGGCAATCTGAAGAGTTGGCCGACGTCTCAAAATCCGCTTCAATTGAAGAAGTCCGTTGTCAAGTCAGTTACGTCAGTAGAGTTTGTTGTAGTGTCACCCTAAAATGATAACTTTGTAGAGACCCCTATACCTCTGTCCATTCAAATGACAGAGTATGACACCATGAATTGTACTGTTGCAGAGCCCTATGATTCAGCGTGATGGAGCTACATACAACCATATGCTGCACTAGTGAACCATACCATTTGTAGACATTACGATACTGTACACAACTTCACCACTTTTGCACCAGCCTTGAGCTGTAAAGGTGCAATGTACCATTTCTTACCAGCAACACTAGATTTACTCAAAAGTTATAATACGGCAGGATTTACCAAGATAAACTTGTCATGAAATACCAGGATATTTGTAGAATTGATTTACCATGAGATGCATATTGACCAGTTGAAATACCAGGGGGAGGGACAACGCCCAACACACAAATAAGATACCAAGATCAGATACTAAGTTTCACGCTGATTTCTTATTAGTCTATACCCATATGAAAGGAAGTCATGTGTCTCTAGAATGACCTGTTAGAAAACTTCTTGAAAACAGAGTTAATCATTACAGTGTATTACAAATTAAACAAAATGGAACACTGTTGTTCAGTCTTTCCACTTGACAATGCAACAAGAAAGGAGAGCCAATACTCCACAGAAAACTTGACTGTCGACTTGAGAATCTTTGACAGAAAATATTGAGAAGTCTCAATAGAACTGAAAGGTTCTCCATTTCTGAGGGGATTGACACAGGACTTTTCTTGGTGCAAAAATGACAACTAATGTACACAAACAAATAAGAAGACCAAGGTAAGGCAAATAAAAGGTAAATGACTATCAAGTTTGTGAATACCATAAATATATTATTGAAAATCAAGACTTAGACTAAGCCATGACCACCACAGAATAAATTAGCTACCAATAAGATAGAAATAAAGAGGTCAGGAAATAAGAATAGTGTGTCAAGAAATCTTATTATCTTATTGTCTGTATGTACACAATCTGAAGTCATTACCTTCCATCAGCTCAATGCAACTCTTGGACACCACACATTGTCATCACCTATATATCAATGATGCCAAAAATAAGGCTTGTCCATACACTTAATGATGGTCCTTTCAGCATAAATGATCTTGTATTAAAGGTTAGATTGCATAGGATAAGTAAAACCAAAGGAAAGTTGCCGTAGCTTTACAAAACAACAAAAGAGAATTGCAAAAGTATTACAGTGGCAATGTTACCTAGAAGAAAGTCAAACCTACCCATATGCAACCTGCCTTACAGTTTAATGAAGCCTAGGATATGACACCTTTCATTGAACTGAAAATCAAAACACATTCTGGGCACATGGCCAATTACCCATCTCATATGTCCAGACCTCAACAGTTAATTTCAACTCAAGTATACGCCAACATGACTTGAATATTACCAGCTACAACCTCAGGCCACACAACCAACACCTATTAGGGATGAGCTGCCATCAAAGGCTGACCAGTAAAATATTCCTGCCTAAGATACTCAATTTTGTTCCAACTCTTCAAGCTACTGAACTGATGTGTAGCCAAACATCCAAACGCCTCAATACTGCTTCTCGAGCAAGAGTAACAATAACACTGCTTTCAATGATCTTTTAAGAGAAATAAAAATGTAACACTTACTTGTAACCTCCATTGCCCCCTCTGGGCCCACCACCATAACCGCGGTCATCGCGGCCTCTGCTGTCATCTCTACTGCGGTCATCCCGGCCACCCCTGTCATCCCGACCCCTGTCACGGTTTCCATCTAACGACACAAATCAAGTTTTAGAAGAACAAATATTAAGTAATAGAAATTATGGCAGTTCTATTTGAAGGCTCATACCATAGCGTCCTGCACTCCTATCCCTTTCCCGGTCACCACCACCACCGCCATAGCCACCTGCCGGTGACCCACCGTAGCCACCAGCAGAGGGAGGGGGACCTGAGGGTGGAGGGCCTCCGTAACCACCAGGAGCCCCTGTCTGAGGTGGCTGACTATAATTTCCAGACTGGAACTGACCACCTACGGGAGCATTATATCCACCCGTAGAGGGTGGGGGTCCTGTGAAACTTTGACCCTGATAGCCTCCACCTGGAACACATAGAAAAAACAATAATGAAAGGTTCTCTAAGAGCAACACTGCGATTAAGTATCAATAGAAAAACATACCTGGAGGTTGGGAAGGAGGAGGCTGCTGCCATCCCGAGGAAGCTCCATCGTAAGATGCTGGGGCAGGTGGGTAAGAAGGTGGTGCCACAGAGGTGTTGCCTACACCTGCTGTAGGCGGAGCTCCACCGGGTGCTGGGGCAGCTTGTGTGTAGCCTTGATAGCCTCCATACGCACCGGCACCGCCGGCGTAATTTCCGTACACTGAAACACAGATAAATTGCAATCAAGACCCTAGGACACGATTCACGAGAACCAATTCGAAACGAAATAAAGTGCGAGCCAAATTAAAGCAAAGGTATTCAAAAAGAAGCATATAGAACAGCTTCAATGGTAAAAGGACACAACTTTTTTGCCGCTAACCCTAGCCTGGCCCAAGACCAAATTGGATCTCTTCAAGGATTTAACTTTAAGCTTGGGCCCAACCCCCAGAAATTCCGCAAGTTTAATTAGGTGTAAGACAGGCAGATAAAAATTTATGTACTCTAGATAGAAGATATTCGAAATAAAATGTTTCTAGACCCGGTGGAAAAACTCAGCGTGGGGTACCAGACCGAGCTACCCAAGAAACGACGCCGCAATCAAGGCGTCACAATAACGGGTGCAGCAAACACAGAACTAACAACTGTGCTAGAAATGTACAGACTTGTACACTTGTGCTTGGATCTGAGACCCACTACACAAGCAAAATCGAGCAAATAAACAAGAAATCAAGAAATTCGTCACGCACTCACTCTCGCTATCACAATTAACAACGCGATGATGGCGTCGTCGGTGTCGGTCGAGCGGGAACGGAAGTGGACTTGTGACTTGTGGAAGTGTTGTTGTTGTTCTCCATTGCGTGGCTGTAAGACATAGAGGCGATAGAGGCCTCCGATCCCTGATTTTGTTATTTGGTCGATTTGATCACTGTACCTTCCAGACCAAGTTTTTTTTATTTTCCGATATTTTTTGGTTGATTTGACACTCTTACTATTAGCTTTGCTTCCAGTGTCGTCAAATGAGAGAGAAACCAAGAAGAACAAGAGTAACAAGAACAACAACAAGGAGGGAGGCAGACGACTGAGGAGACCTGTCAACAAAAGTGTTCAACATGACACCACGTCAGCAAGGGGATGTCGACGAGCTTTTTGATGTCAAAAATGCCTTTTTTATCGGAAACTACACCCAATGCATTAAAGAAGTGGAAAACGTTACGAAGGTAGCCTTGTCACTCAGTAAATATGGAAGGTGTCTGTGTGTCGACAGGTTATGTCTCCAGACGTGAGCTAGTCCGGTGTTTGTTTCATTCTTTAATACATCGGTTTTCTTTGTTTCAGGTGAGCTCGGAAGAGTTACAAGTTGAAAGATTAGGATATTTGTACCGCTCTTACGTCGCTCAAAAAAAATACAGAGTTGTACTTGATGAGATTACGGAAAGCTCACCTGCCATGCCCATTCGAATTATGGCCGAATACTTTGGGGGAAATAGATCAAAGAAGTAAGTATTTTCATGTGACAGATAACTTAAGCAACTCCAAACAGATAACATAATCAATCCGAATTGAAAATGATTTCGAGGGATCAGAAGAAGGGTAAATGCTTGTTTTTCACACTTGTTTCTGGCAACAGTGCTTATCATTTGTTATAATTTTGTTTCAGGGATGAAGCTCTCTCTCAGATAGAGAAACTCTTCACAAGTTCCCTCCTGAAAGACAAGCATTTGTTGATAATTGCAGCTGCAACCATCTATGCTGAGGAAGGTAATTTTGAGGCAGCGCTGCGGGTGCTGAATCAAGGAGATCATATTGAATAGTGAGTTTTAAGATGTTAAATTTGTTTTGTTAATGCAGAAATTATGAGTCACAATCATTTATTGTATTGTTGGCTGGGGTTAGTGACGTAAAACATTGTTAACTGCTTCCTTCCCAGCAATGCTCTCAATCTACACATCTACTTGCAAATGGATCGCAAAGATCTTGCTCGGAAAGAACTTAAACTCATGCAAGATCGGGATGATGATGCAACTCTAACTCAACTTGCCCAAGCTTGGGTAAACATTGCCTTAGTAAGTTATTTTTTTGTTTTGTTTTTTAATTGTGCAGATCAGTGTGTTAGTTGTGCTAAGCAAATGTTTTTGGGTTCTTAGGGAGGAGAGAAGATGTTGCAAGATGCTTACTATATTTTCCAAGAGATGGTTGAGAAGCATGGTCCTACCTCCTTACTATTGAACGGTCAAGCTGTGTGTTTCATGGGACAGGGGAAGTACCAGGAGGCTCAAACTGTTCTGCAAGACGCATTGGACAAAGACAGCAATGCTCCAGATACCCTCATTAACATGACTGCTCTGTCTCACTACCTTGGAAAGCCTACTGAAGTGAGTGCATTTTGACAAATGTGAACAGAGTAGTTGAATATTCTTTCATAAATTGACAAATGCCTTTACCCTCTCATTTTCTAGGTTGCCAGTAGGTACCTCAGCCAATTGCAAGATTCCCATGCAGACCATGATTTTGTGAAGGAGTACAATCAGAAGAAGTCAGAATTCCAGAGATTGTGTAAACAGTACTGTGCGAGTGCATAAGGCATAGTGAAGCCATTTAAAATTGTATTGTTATGGCATGGGTATAAATGTTTCTAATTTTCTTTTCTAGTGAAATAAAAAAGTTTATTACATGATAAGATCACAGAAAATCATCCTGTGTGGATTGTTATGTCCCTAATCTTGAATACATATTACAGCTCTTACTTATTTTTCTTTTTTTTTTAAACTAGGAAGGATTGCTGTTAACTTGCTAATAACAAATTTAAAATGAGTGTGATGTAATTCACACAAGTGCTAGTTTCACAATTCATTGGTATACCTGCATTTCACAGGTAATGTTAAAAATGTAGCTCAATTAGAACATAAATAATTTAAATAACATATATAACATAAAGATAAACGCCAAGAAGAAAGCTAAATTTCTTAAGATTACTTGAGTTACACCCTTAACACTTCTTACCAAAGTGTTGTTTAACTCAAAAACAGTACGGCTTTCTTCCAAGATTGACTTTTTTTTCTCTTCGCTAAATTGGGCTACAACACTATTTAAAGCTGCCACCAAGTCCTTTTTCATTTGGTAAATGCTCCGTCCCCCAAAGTCCGACACAGCATCGCCCCCTGGAAATTGAGTTTGTTTTGATTATGAATTCATAAGACAGTCCACGTTTTGGCTAGAGCTTCTATATCAAGTTCTTGATTATACTAACCTGATCTCGTCTTCTTGTTCCCAGCAAGTACAGGAAAGCGGTTCAGAAGTTGTCGTTTTTTCCTAAGAATTTGACCTCCAGACAAGAGCCCCATGTATAAATGATAGACATAGGCAATTAGAAGATCAGGATCGTTTTCTTCAAGTTCCATGAGATGATGAAGATAGCTTGCCACACTTGCTCTTGGAGTGTATGATGAGGCCCAATCCTCCCCTAAATAATACTTCAAATCAGCTTCAAATGCTTGAGTTCGCTCCATTCCTTCAATCCTGAGCTCTCCCAACGGTTTGTCTCTCAGTCTGTCCATGGCTTCCTCAAGGTATCTGAATATCTCATAAAACACCAACAGTCCATCCGCCCAAACCGAATTATCTGATAAAGCTGGGGGGGGGGGGGAATGGATGATATTAGTTTCATGTAAACTTGAACCAACTCCCGATAACTTTTTTATTTCATTCAATCGACTAACACATACCTAATGCCAGTTTCCCGTTGACCAGCGCGTCACTCACGGCATGAATGTCGCGCGTCGCCTTACGCATTTCCCGATTGAACGGCGCATCCGCGGACCCCTTCGGTGACCACACTGAAATTGAAATTGACACGCAAGTGTTAACCATTAGATGGATCAGTTGCATCACATCCATTCATAACCCCATAAGGACCTCAGTTATGTCCCACAGGTGCAGTTGTTTTTAAGGCAAAGGGAAATGTCAATACCCTCATCAGACGTGTCATCAGGCATGATTAACCGCCCGGAAATTTAGAGGTGCAAACGAGGTTCGAAATGGGAAACACTGCGGCCTCTTTGGTGCGAGAGCAGCCGACCGCGGCTCAAGCTCAAGCAGGCGAGTCAAGTACGCAGTCCGTGGCCTGGATAGATAAGCAAGAAGCCACCGACTCCAAATCGACCGGCCAATGCCACACGATTACGTACCCATGATTAATATGGTTTCCCGTGCGGTTGAAGGAACGGCGTCTCGTTCTGGTAGAGATTGTGCCCTAATCAATGTCAACAACCCGCAAGAGGGTTCGTGGTTGACTGTTTGATGTTTGGGTTTTGAAGCTTTCTGCTAGGTCATGCGCAAACAGCATTTCTCATATTTTTCATGTTGACCACGTCTGCGCAGCGGTATGAACTGTCACATTCGAGGTTACTCTGCTCATATCACGACACCATTCATGCCTCCCTCAATCCTTTTTCTAGAGTAGCAGTTCCCTCAACTTCTAAACGTACTTCAGTCGGCGAGCTTCACATTTCACCCCTTCCCGGCACGTGACTTCCACATCTGACGTTGCCTACACTGGAGAGGGAAGCTGTGCGCCGAAGAAGGCGCCAAGCATTCAACAGCAGCGCGACTGTGGCGAGTGCAAACTGGCGGCCGAACCGGATTAGTTTCAGTTGAAAAGAGCAAGTCTCCGCGAAAATTTTCGACAAGCGAAGAAGCTACTTTCACTTATCTTAGCCTTAAACGCAATTCTATTTCTGGGAGGATTCGATCGTGGGATGGGCGGGAAGGGTTGAGCCGCGGAGCGGGTTCCAGAGAGTGCTTCGTGGAGGCTAGAACCGCTGGGCTGGAGGGTGACCGGACCGAAAGCCCCATCAGAGTGAAGTGTCGAGGCAGGCCGCCGGACAGGGCGATTTGGTATCAGCGCTGGCGGTCCGCTCTGTGCTCGCAGCCATCCATCCAGCCCCCGTTACTGTCGCATTTTATTGCTCCCAAACTGACCCTCTGCACGACACCAGGCCGAGGCCGCCCGGCCGCCCTTCGACCAAGGGGCCAAAGCCCGCGACGTGGCAGGGTGGGACGCACTCCAACCCGGCTCCAACCAGGCACCAGAGGCATGCCAGAGGCGCGATCGCCCATCTCCCTCTCTCCCTCCCTCTCTCCCTCTCTCTCTCTCCCTCTCTCCCTTTCTCTCTCTCTCTCTCTCTCTCTCTCTCTCTCTCTCTCTCTCTCTCCCTCCCTCTCTCTCTCTCTCTCTCTCTCTCTCTCTCTCTCTCTCTCTCTCTCTCTCTCTCTCTCTCTCTCTCTCTCTCTCTCTCTCCTTTCTCTCTCTCACACATACTCCCTCCTTCTCCTCTCGTCCGTCCCTCCCTTCCCCCTTCCCCTCTTCCTCCTCCCACCCCCTTCCAGAACGATCAATACGACGGATGCTGCAGTGGGTCCGCGGCCCACCCCCCGCGGATGTAAAGTCGCTTCGGCTAAGCTGAGGGGGCGGGCGGGAGCGGGCGGTGACTAGTAGTCCAGGTTACGCGTGGCGAAGGAAAAGGCGCGCCAAGTCAAACACGGCGGGGAGTCCGACAGCGTTCGACAGGGTGCAGACCGTCTGACGGCCTGATGGCCTGACGGCGAGCGCCAGAAGGGTCGTCGACTCGGTCGTCGAGGCCGAGGCGACGCCAATGCGACATCATGGCGATCTTGCAGTCTCTGGTTGGTCATCCGATTTCGGCTGCGGGAAGTCCCTACAGCACCCCCCCCCCCCCCCAACCCGGAGAAGCAGGGATGGAAACAGCCACGTCTCTCGAGTCACATTGCTGTGCAGAGCCCCCTCGCCCCGATTACAGTAACGGCAAAGTGCAACGCCGAGCATGGCCCTTACCGGCCTCCACGGCGGCGCGCCGGAACTACTTCTCGCAGGCGGCCAAGCCGAGGGGGATGAGGGGGGATGCGGGCACGGCGCACGCTACTCCGAACCGACCATGCTGCTGCGGCGCCAAGGGTGGCGGGGCGGGGCGCGGCGGGGCGTGGCGGGGCGCGGCGGGGCGCTGCGGTGGGAGACGAGAGGGTTGCCCTCGACTGGCCTCGGCTCTGCTCGCGTTGCGTCGAGTCGGGTCGCGTTGGCGTCGCGTTGCGTCGCGCCGCGTTGTTGGGCCCCACGACACGGAGCGCTGCGGAGCGGAGAGGCGAGCCTGGCGAGCCTTGGCGGCAGCCCAGCAGCTCGGCTCGGCTCGGCTCTGCTCGACGCGACTCGGAAAGGGCGCCTCTCCCTGACTAGCGGCTAGGCCTGCTCGGCCTGCTCGGCCTGTCTGGCTCTGTCCGCGGCCGTGGCCAAGGCCGTGGCGGAGCGGAGCTGTCGTCCGCGACTCGCGACACGGGACTGACAGACTGCCGTGCTGCGACCTTGCCGTTGCTGGAGGAGCCCCTGCCTGTCCTGGCCCCGAGCGGCCCCAGCGGCCCGAGCGCCCCGAGGATGAGGAGGCCCTTGGGGATGCCCTCCCCGACGTCCCCAAGCTGACCGCCTTGGCCGCCTGCACAGGAAGATGACCTCACGCGTTCGGGCCCACCATGTCCGGCCGTCATGACAAGTGCATCCTGCTCACCCTCATCGCCGTGCTCCACTGCCTGGCCATACGTGAGTAGCCCTCGGTACGCCCCCCTCCGGCCCTCCGATCCTGCGACCCCCCGAACCCTCTGGCCCTACAGTGTCCCCCTCGGGGTTCCACGTCTGCGGCACGACCCCCCGGCACGGAGGTCCCTTGGGCACCGTTCCAAGCCCGGCACGGCCGTCGGGGTGCATCCAGCAGGGCTGCAGGGGCCCCGGTACCGGCTCGAACGTGATCCGAAACGGGTCTTCCTAACCTCACTCTGGCACGGGGTGGTGCAGAGCTACCCCTGTCCTCCCCTCTCTGCTGCTGATGGCCCCGCCGCCCCGCCGCCCCGCCGCCCCGCCGCCCCCACCCCGCGCGACCCATCCTATCCCTCGGCCGAGCCACGGCACGCTGTGCACCTTCGGCACATGGGCCAGCACTTTCACTCGCCGTCCAAATTTGGCCTTCCTGGTCGGGCCGCTCGCCGCTCGGGCCTCCGGAGCGGTCGTGCCATCGTGACGTCGTTCGTGACGTCGTTCGTGGGGCCGGCTCCGGGCCCCATAGCGTGACACCTGGCACGCCACAACTCGCGGGCACCGCCGGGCACCGCACACGAGAGGCATTCCGACGAATGAAAATAGGAGCCGCGAGCCGTGACATTCCGCGCGCAGTTCACCCATCCCCGCCACTCGGGCAGTCACTCCGTCTATTCACACGCCCCCGTCACTCCACCCCGCCACTCGTCTTTTCACCCATCCCCGCCACTCGGGCAGTCACTCCGTCTATTCACACGCCCCCGTCACTCCACCCCGCCACTCGTCTTTTCACCCATCCCCGCCACTCGGGCAGTCACTCCGTCTATTCACACGCCCCCGTCACTCCACTCCGTCACTCGCCTTGTCACCCCACCCCCGCTGCTACCGGATTGGCGATTACGCCACTGATTACAACGGGATGCGTGCCAAGATAAGGAGGGCTCAGGTAGGGCGGAGGGGGGGGGGGGTAGCAGGCTGTAACTACACTAATTTCGCCATTCATGCTCCACCTGGGCGCAGGCGAGGCGCAGGCGCCGGCGAGGCGCAGGCGCCCCACCGCGTACACGCTCGTTCCCTACGCGACAGCCTAATCTCTATTTCACGCCGAGTCCGAACAAGAACGGAGCGACCCGTGGAAGTAACAAGTTCCGTGTATTAGTGTGAGCTGTGCCCGGGCATGCCCGTCACAAAGTCGGGGAAGTGATTCGGGGATAACGGCCCGCGCCGAGCCAGTGTTTACTTCCCACTGCGGATCCAGCGCCGCGGCATGCGGAAAGGGGGGGGGGGAGGAGGTCAGGCCGTTTGGACTGCCGAATCCCCGACTAGCCAGCCAGGTGATGCTCTCCTCCCTTGTGTCGCAGCGCCCGTGGTGTGCATCCAGCAGAAGGAGCACCGCACGGCGGCCGCGGCCGAGCGTGCCAACGACCTGCGCTGCTTCGTGTGCGAGAGCATGGACCCGCTGTACGGCCACAGCTGCGTCCACGCGCCGGCCACGCTCAAGCAGTTCGAGAAGCGCTGCAGGGACGACGCCAGGATATGCATGGTGAGCAGTCTTGCCTTCGGCCGAGGAGCAGCGGCGCGGAGCGGAGAAACTCCGATAAGCCATTTTCCCCATTTCACGCGTGTATTGATTTTGTGTCTACCCGCCCGCCAGAGACCATAACGGCCTGCCGCCCTGTCGTGTTTTAATACTGATCTTAACAGGTGTCCTTTCATTTTCCAGTCACGTAGAAGTATCGTGCGGTCTATTCTGTAAAAGAGCAGTAAGTTTTAATAACTTGCTGCGCGCTGTAACTCCAGCCACTTCGGTATCACCTTTCTGTATGCCGTGTAGTGGAGGCATGGCAGTGCCGGGCCTGTAACGGCATGCGATCAATTATGGTCCAGCCCGGGCCAGAAACGGCTCTCGGTCAATTGTGGTCCAGCCTCTCGTGTCAAGTCAAGTCTCAAGTCATGCTCAAGTCAAGGTGCCGCCGAGTCAAGTCGAGCGCCCGCCAACCGGCGGGTAGGCCAGCCCGCAAGGCAGGCGTGCCGACCGGGTTGCCTACCCGCAGATCGTTGGGCGCTTCAGCGGCAGTCGGAGAGTCGGGCAGGGGCAGCCGGGGCAGGGTGGGCAGGGTTTCGCGAAGCCTGTAGTGGGGCAACATTAAGTCTTAGGGAAGTGCCAAATTGATCCGCGCGCGGCTAGCTTTCGACTAGAGGATGACGTCCAACTCCCTGTCGATCGTTTACTGCTCGTACTTCTGTCCTTGCGACCTGCGTGTGCCCTTCCTTTAAAATGTCAGGATGAGTGCATGAGTGTCTGTGTGCGGTGTGGAGCAGCTGACCCCAAGGTCCATATCGCCTGTTTGTCCTGGTGCCGCAGACGAAGCGTTTCTCGTACACCACCTCGACGGAGAACACGACGTCGGAGCCTCGCCTCTTCTCCCTGGAGCGCAACTGCACCTCCAAGTGCGAGCCGGGGTGCATCATCATCGGCGAGAGAACCAAGCTGTACGCGTGCACCGAGTGCTGCGAGACCAACCAGTGCAACACGGGCAACGGGGCGCGGGCCAGACGGGCCTCGTGGACGCGCCTGCTGCCCTACGTCTACCTGGTCGTGATGCCAGTGCTGCTGGCGCACTGACGGCCGTGCCCCCCTCCCGCCCTCGCGACGCGCTCGCGACGCGCCTACGGGCCCTGCGGGCCTGGCTGTGGGCCCTGTGGGCCCTGTGGGCCTTGGCCTTGCCGGCCCTGTGGACGCTGGGGCCACGCCGGCCGCGCCACAGTGGGCGTGTGTGCGCGGCGTGCGCGGACCGCGCGGGCGGGCTGTGGGGGAGTGACAGTGACAACAATCCTCGCACATCTTCCCCGAAAATTGCAATGTGTCTCTCCTATAAATTGGTTTGTTGGATGAAACTCATTTCTCTCCAATTTCTTGTGTTTTAAAATTTTGAATTTTACAAAACTGTTGAGGCATGTGTCCTCATTAACTTGAGACCAAAATTTGAACAAAGCAGGTAGTGCTCACAAGTGTTTCCCCCCTGTAATCGTTAAGGAGTTGAGTGAGTCGGAGTCAATTCAGTGTGAACGCATTGTGGCTGTTTCTGTTCATGCCCTTTGTTTCGTAAAATAGGTATACGTTTCCTGAGAATTGCTGATAAGAATTTTTAACCCCATAAAATTTTCTCTTTCTCTCTATATCTCTTTTCTCTTTCGTTATTGTAGATAGTCACTAAACAAACCAATGCAAGTGTGTTGGCACACCCCAACCCAAGGTGCTGGAGGAAGGAGGGAGTGCTGAGAGTCTCTCTCCTTCCTCTGAATTTGGGCATTGTTGCTGCTGTGAGGCATCTGAGTCGTCGTGGTGTGACACCGTATGACAAAATGACTTAGTTCAGCAGTAAGTTTTGTGAGGGAAGGGGGAGCCTGGCTCGGGACCAAGGCTTCTTAAGTCACGGGTGTGCCCGGCAATATCGCAGCGGCCGCTCAACCTTAGAGCTTAAGTAAATACAAGTGATGGAGTTTGTTCTCTCTCCAATGGTAGTAAAGTCATTCACATTTCGTCATGTATTTTTGTCGTAATCTCATTTTTGCTTCTTTCCTGTCGGTAGGAATTTCACCTCTTTCCTATGGATATCATAAAGAAAAAGCAGAGAGCAACTTTTCTGAGGACGATTCTACATTTTATTCCATATTTCTGAGACTAGCACATTTAAATGTTGTTTTGATGTATGGCATGCATGTTGGTGAAACATGATGAATACTTTGTAAATTTTACGTGTAAATACAAACAAAATAATGTACACATTTTCTTTTAGGAAGATTGTACTTCTGCTTTTTTTGTCCCTTATGTAAATTTACTTATCAAATGATGTTTTTTTATCCTTCGAAATGAAGCCAGCAGCCATGAAGCGCTACACGTTGATGTGGTGCCGAGCTTGTTACAATGTAAAACTGAAATTGGGAAAAATCAGAAAGAAAACTTTTTAAAAAAGAACTTAAAAAAAAAACAACAACACTCAAACAAATGGTACAATTTGCATTCAAGCTCATGTAAAAGTTAATAATTTTGCCCTCCACATCAGAAAATAAAGAAAGGATAATGCTTTTTGATTGAGGTGCTGCTTGTGATTGCCTTCCATCCAAAAGCGATGATAGCTTACTTTTAAACTATTTTGTAGTACTGGACATTGTTGAGGACTTCCTCTGAGCTCACTTGAAATTTATCAATGTTGTGCTGGTGTAAATAATATATTGGATTGGTATAACACCACATCTTGTAGTATCTATTGTTAAGCAAAATTCACAGGGCCATCTCAATGTCATCCATGATTTGGTACCAATGGAATGCCAAGTCTTCCTTACTATGCTGAGAGCACAAGCCCCGTCCAGTCAGTTTCATCTAGTATTTTGGTCTTGAAAGAAAAGATAACTCATTTGTTTCATGATCTGTTAGAGATTTATCTTCAAGGCAAATATATTGAACAGAAACGAGAAAGTTCCCACAGCTTTTCAAGCTTTTCATGCACTTTATATTTTTGTGCTCATAGTGCATCCCAAGAAACCTGAAGGCCAAATTTCACTTATGCCTCAGCCTTTATTTGAGAAAAACAGCAGCAGAATTAAAAGATCAGATTTTCATATCAATTGCTGTTTTTTTTTCTTGTCTTTTTCAAGCAGAATAATTATGTGTTGTACTGTTTTTCTTTCAGAGAAAAATTAAGGATTTTACAATCACATCAATGGGAAAACATTTGAAGGTTTTGATTGACAACTTCTTTCAGGGAACTGCTTGGGCAATTGTTTATGAATTGACAAATGTGAAGGCCTATTATTCTTTAGCTGGATCCTCAATAACAAACTTATCTCCAGAAGAACACATTGTAACAAAAGCCAGGGCTGCACAAAATGACATGAGGGACTGCAATAGGCCTGGGAAGACTGATATTATAAATAATGTGTGTTAACAAAATATTAACATTGCATGTGCCTTTAAAATTACTTTAAATAATATTTGTCATTTCGACGCCTCCTATTAGAACAATCCTAACTGTCAGTGCTGATCCAAGACGATCCTAACTGTCAGTGCTGATCCAAGACAATCTTAACTGTCAGCGCAGATTGTACGACATAAAAAGCTATTTCTTGTAAAATTCTGTGACGCCAACATGCTGCTTCAAATTTCTTGGCAATGGACTTGTTCGAAAGTATAAAACTTGCATATAAACGTGGAAGCTGTATTTCAGTGATATCATGATTCGCTGCTTTGGACTGAAGAGAGCTAATGAGCAGTTTTAGACTTCTCTGAAACCTCTGAGCAGTTAGGATTGTCTTGGATCAGCACTGACAGTTAGGATTGTCTTGGATCAGCACTGACAGTTAGGATTATTCTATTAGGAGGCGTTGATTTGGAGGCCTCTCATTTCTTTCATTTTCTTTGAACTTAAAATGACAGACGAGTACAGATAAATGCAGAATGTAAAAAGTTGTTCCTTGGTATGGCTTGAATGCAATTAGAATCACAGTTGAAACATAGTCTAAACTTTACAGTGATAATCATAAGCGCTTTTCGGATCCTTCAATGTTACGTTTTCTTTAAATAGTTCAAACTATAAAAATTAAACATTACACGTTTATACTGCCATCACAAGTATCAAGGAAATGGACGTCTTTTGTATTATTTAAAATCTTTCTTTAGGCGATTGAGTGAATCTGGTCTGTGCAAACACAAACAGGACCTTCCGTTACATATATTTTTAAGACAAGCTAGTGTTAAAGCACCTAAAGTAAGTCCAAATGTAGCCCTATCAAGAACAAGCCCTTGCTGCATGTTGCACTACAACTTGTAAAATTATTTCATTTTTTTGTATTAGATTACCACTAAGTGACAGAAGAAATCCAATGGACCATAGACAACTGATTTTTTTGCTAGCTAAATTTAAGATTAACTGAACATCTTGACAGTCTTTACTTGTTCCAAAGAAAGAGTTCTTGATAGGAATACCATTTTGAATATCACCTTAATGAAACTGTACCAACACAAGGTGATGAAAGTTCTTTCCTGCTCAGAGAAACACAAAGGTCAACAGAAAGGACCAACCTGTGATTTCGACACTTTAGGCATTTGCGATATTGTGAAGATGAAGTGTAATCTTAATTAAGAGAATTTTTCCTAATCATTTCATACAAATACAGTAGTACTATTTTGTATTTATCACAGATGAAAATGAAACACTGCACTTTATCTTAAAGATTTGAACTTTCCCATGTAATAAAGGTATGAAGTATCTCTTGCGACATTTAACGCATAGTTTTGAGCCAAAAAGAAATTTATTGTCAAAAGAAATTACACCAAAAAGAAACAGCAGAAGGAACATTGAGCAGCAGCACATTGTCTCAAAATTTAAAAAAAAAAGAACAAAACAAAGTAAATTTTTGGAAATGAAACTAAAAACAAAGTATGATTCAGAGGCCTAAGCCATTTTCTAAGAATTCAAACCAAGTCTTGTACATTTCTTTTCTTAACAATTCTTTAGCAATTGGGGCCATTTAGCATTTTTGTTAGACATTGGGGTCCTGCTTACAATGATCCACATTGATATTTCCATTTAAGGATGTAAATATTTCTTTGATTAAGGCTGTGGTCAAACTGTTAGGCAAACCTTTCATGTAATAAAGTATATATAATATATAAAAGGAAACTTTCACCACAATCACAATCAATAGCTTGCTGCATATAAAGCAAGGAATTGCCAAGTTGTAAACTATCTGTCTAATACTCCATTCTGTTTCCCAATAAAATGTTAAACATGACTTGGGATTTTTCATACTGTGGGAGAACTTTACACAAAACCCTACAGCGATCACAACACCTTGCAAACAGTTTCACTCAACAAGGAACGCCACGGCTAGGATGGAAAAGTAAAACTAAATAAACATTGTAATGTATGTGCATTTATTAACAATAATGAGTGTACAAGATTTCTTGTAGGTGAACATAATTTCAATTTATGTTCATGGTACAAGCTTGACTGTTTATCTCTGGAAGCTACCGTAATCCAGTGACTCCCAGGATATTCCACACACATCAACATATTCAAAATCCAGTAAAAAATGAGTTAAGAAAGACTCAAACAACGGTCATAAAATATAACACCTACATTGGTTCTAGTCAAGATGGGAACATAAAGTATCAGGTACTGATGTACTAGACACTCATTTGCCCATATTTATCAGAATTCAAGCCAATTCTAATTTTAGAGCATAGAACCACACACCAACTTATTCTAGAATGAATAAATTTATCACATTTCATAAACATACACCAATCACTCTGGCACTTAGTAAAATACTGGGTAGAACATATTAACTAATTCTGGCAGCACACTTTTGGAAACACATGGAATGCTGAATGGATTGGGACAAAAATTAAATTGATAGTGACTGTTTTTGTACGTAATACTGATTTACAGGTTAAAATAGGGTTAGACAATTATTCAATTCGTATAATAGGGTCTCTAAAACATGACATTTATTATAATTTTCATTATTTTCTTATTGTTCTTTTGAAGCCTAAATTCAAATAAGAAAATTGAGTCCCCAAACCAGCCAACTTCAAGTGACAACATTAAAATTCTGCAAAAGGCAGATTGATGAAAAAAGGCATTTCAAAATACCAGATTGGCTCCACAAAAATATCAAATATCACATACAAAAGACATCAAGGCTTGAATTCAAATAAATACAGTACATTTTGTAATTCATTCAAGTATCTTAACATAATCATGTGTACAATTACTTTACAGTTTTCTTTGTTACAGTATAATGAGTGTCCAAAGATGGCTCAAAAATAATTCTTTATTCTCTGCCCTAAAGAGTCCTCAGGTGAAGAGAGATAAAAATAATTTCTTTCTTCACTCACTGTCTGATCCAACAGCATTCTTTTTCCTCTTCTTAGGTTGTTTCTTAACTATTTCCTCCTCCTATTGAGTCAAAATGGAAAAGAGCATTAAGAAAAAAATTGGCAAAATACTTCAAATGCTATAGTAAACTGGATGGAATGGTCAAATACAAGAAACTTACCTCACTGCTCTCCTCACTGGTGATGGGCTCTTTGTAAGGTGGTCTGTTCCCTCGTGTATTGGTCTTTCCCCTACTTGAACTGTTGTTTGCAGTCTTCTTCCCAGTCTTTGTTGACTTGCTTTCCACTTCCTCAGTCTCCGCCAAAGCAAAAAGTTCGCTAAACACTTTACGCTGGGAATCAGTACATGAACTCTGCACTTGCTGAAGAGCCTTTTGTACGGAGTCTAATGCATATAATGGATATGAGCTCCCACTGTGCACACGCAAATGATCAAGATGTCCAAGCACTTGGTCAGGGCTAAGTTGAGGACCACTTGCTGCACCACCACCCCCGCCGCCGCGGGCACCACCTCGTTTCCGCTTGTTGGGAGATGTATTTGGCTGCCGATTGCTCAGGAGTCCAGCAACTAGTTCACCAACTTTCTCTTCATGATTGCGACACCAATGTTTTAAAAGAGACACAACAAACACATCCTTGGGAGGCTTTGCTTCTCGAGACATTACATGTCTCATAAGTTCGGCAGTTGGTCTGTGATGACAATAAATTTCACCAGTCACAAATTAAACACATAAGACATAGAAATTTAAAAAAATGTATGAAATTTAGAACTAGTGGCATAAGCAGCATTCAACTACCCACCTTTCCTCTTTCATCATCAACATGATAGAGGACAGTGCCTCTGGGTGAGCACAGAAGTCTAACTTGGACAAAATAGGTAACAGGATATCCAGAGTAATTTCATGAGCTGTTGCCAGCTGCCAAAGCCAACACTGTTCCATTGTTTCCCAAGACAAGGAAGCCATAAGAACAGAGGCAAACTGATCCGAACGAAACATTTCTAGTTCACCCTGTGAAAGAAAGTAATAAATGAGGTATAAGAATGGGCAACTTGTGGAAAAAATCTCAAGAATAAACAGAAACTCGAACCTGAAGAACAATGTAAATCAAGTCTTGGAGCTGTTGAGCATCAATGGCAGCCACCACTGTGTGTAAGATTTCCGGGTGTCCAACTACAACATCTGGAAACAACCCATAGACTTCTGGAACCAGCCAGCATAATGCATTCACATCTTCTTCTTGGCACAGCTATAAAATAGATTGAGTTTTGATTAGATCTACTGTTTCAAACTGCTCATTGCTCAGAAGACAAGAAGCATAATTTCAAAAACTTACCGACAGATCTAGTAACAAGCAAGCTTCTTCATTTTTTTTGCGTGCTGAGCACATGTCTTTATATAGGGCAGATTTCTTATCACTTGGTTTGCTATAATAATAAAATTGGTTAAGAACAAAGAAGTTGATAAAATCTAAGAGATGAGCATCAGGGTCAGTGACATACCATGTTTTCAGATAAAACAAGAGTAACCAGCCTATCCTTGGATATTTATGGTACATTTCTAAAAGCAATGAAAAGAGACGATGTCTTCTCTTATCATCTTTCTGACATAGTTGATAAAGGTGCTTAAAAAGCACAAATAAAGGTCTTGATATTCTCTCATCTACCATTCTGTACAAGAAAAAGACAAGATCAATTAAATTTTATGCTTCCGCTGAAACTGCAATTACATTAATTGAATACTTTTGAAGTCATACATACTCCTGATTGGGTTCTTTGGGAAAAATTCTTCCTTCAAGTTGGTCTTTAAAAGACACACACAAACAAGAAGCTAGAGCCGTGTTTATTTCGCAGTCCAATTCACCTTCACTGATTATGCACTGGACAAGTCTCTCCATTGCTTGACATCTGTAAGAGGATATAAAACATACAGTAAGTAATTGTCAAATATGCTTTCTATCCCTTCCAAAAAAGTCAATTTGCAGTTGAGTTCGACCTACTTGACATCATTATCAGACTGAGACCGGAGAGTTTCTGCAGCACTTCTTAACTCTCCCTCTAAAACAGGTTTAATATTGTTCTTTGTGGCCCCCTTCTTCCCTTTCTTAAGTTTCACTTTGGCTGAAAAGATTATAATCCACAGTTAATCTATGGTGGTTGTAGTACAAGAGAAATCAAATCATCTTGTTTAAATCAGAACCTTACCAAGAGGTATGTCTTCATCTTCGTCGTCATCTTGACTAAGTCTCCGAAGAGTTCGAACTAGACTGCCAGCAGTCTGCTCGCTTTCTTCTACTTCATGTTCTACATCATTCTCCTCCGCTTCTTCATCATCACTGAAAGTTGGTTCACCTTCATTGCTACCATGATGGTTGTTGTTGTTTCCAGGATGAGGACACTCAATCTCTCCGGACACAATTCCATCAAGTCTACCCCCGACTGAATCTGTGAGCAAGCCCAAGAGGAATTTAAGTATTACATGACACAGCATAAACTAAAAAAGAACAAGACAAAGTTAGGTTAACTGATATAAGGAGAACACAGACCTTTGATAGGTGGGGGTGGGAAGCAAAATTCTTTAAACGATGATTTTAAGTTATTTCTAAGTTCTACATCTAATCTTGCATTGTCGAAAAGATGGTATAGAGTGGGCAGTACCCTCTTTTCCAAAATGAGACGAAGTGATGCGTTGATTCCTTGTCTCACTTTCTCAGTCAAAGGTGGATAAAAGCCAGGGATTATCTGCAACAAAGAATATTGTAATTTTTAAATCAAGTTATACCAGATAGAACATACTAAAGAGGTGAAGTTATTGAAAACTTACTCTACAAAGAAAATCAAGAAGAGTGGCAGTTATTAAAGGATGAGGTCGTAAGGAGTTGTGCATCACCAATATTCCAGGCTCTGTAACAGAAAGACAGGAAAAAGGTGACATCAGACCAAAAGCTTATTTTCCTGGACCTTCTAATATACAAGACAGAATTTTACCTATATTCATTATATTGTCTCTCTCAGGATCAAAGAAGAGCCAGTCATATAAAAGAGCTAATTTGCCATTGCAGGAAATGGTTGTTGATGTACATGTTGTAAGAAGCCAACCAATTACTGCCCATCTTGGCATCACTTCTGAACACAAAATATCATTTGAAGGATGAATGACACAGACTATGAATCTTATCAAGTCACATCTTAGTGTTTGGGCTTCTGGTGTGTTCAAATACTGTGAGGATGTAATCATAGAATTAGTTATAACTTACATATGGACTTTGATTTGAAAACAAAAATATATCGAGAAAAATTTCAATATTATTGCTTTAACATAAATGTTTACCTGTCTTTGGAACCAATCCTGATACCTTTTATGGTGACCAAATTTAACACTCAATAATAGATAACTTATTTTGGTTTCCATATCTGGAGTGAGACGACAACGAAGCATTGTCTTCCCAGTTCTAGTGAGCATCAGCTGATGAATACCTATGGAATAATTTGGTATTAGTCAGCAACTTAATAAAAATAGTTGCATCTTGGTTAAATACACTGCACTCAACAATCAACTCATTTTCTGCATACCAGTAAATGTTTGACATAACGATCTAGGATTGTGTAACATGTCTCTCCAGAGCTGTTCAATCTGTGGTATTCTAGCTACATTTTGCAAGAGCCTAACCAAGTCACGCCCAATCATCATACACTCAGCAAAGCGCTCTCTGATAAGTGAGACAACAAAAGTAACCTCTCTTTGCTTGAGTGATGTAAGTGTTGGGTGGTTATGGTCTTCAAGGAGCCTCAGAAATGTGACGACAGCAGCACGAAGCTGGTCAGGATGTTTGTCCAGCCATACCCTGCAAGGAAGAAAGCCACTTTCAGTGCACTTTTGACACACAATACTATTCATTTATAACCTCAAGAAGAAGTTTACCTGTTGTTCTCAAAAGCAAGCAGTATTTGGTCAATGTGTGTAATATTCCTTGGAGATAAATCTCCGCCCGCACACAATCGGAGCATTGTAAAACACAAATTATCCACATTAGCCACTCCTGTCCTTATTAATTCGCCAAACAGCCATATTGATTGTGTTCTGACTATATCTTGAAGGCGAAGATAATATTCATGCATAACACGGATTAAATTGCCTATTACAGACCCTAGACCATCTCTCTGAATCAACATCAAGTCACGGAAGCTCTGCAACAGACGTAAGACATCAAATAGTACCAAAGTTGTCTACTAGGCCCACAATCATGGTTTCGTTTAAATAGAATATTCTTACTCTAGGGGCAAGATGTGGATCAATAAGAATGCTGACAAGCAGGCCAAGGGAAACTTGGTCATGGCTGTTGTTTGCAACAGCCTTATTGAGTACGTCGTGAGTTTCCTTGTCTGATAGTCCAGTAATGAGATTTTGAACATGTTTGTAAGCACGGTCACACTTCTGAAAGGAGTTGAATAACAGCATTATTAAAACAAAGTTTCAAAACCAAACCAGAAACAATTAATAGGCTGATTCACAGCTTTTTATTTAATGTGGTCACAATTGCTTAAGTATGCCATCAAGATTCAAAAAGTAGAAAAATGAAATAAATGTTTCAAACCATCATATACAATTATGGCTTTGAAATTGGTGTAATCAAACACCACTAATGCACAAAACAAAATAAATAGAAAGATTGAACAATATCGTAGAACTGCAAGACCCAAGTCGCAGCAAAATTATTTTTTGTTCATGAATGAAAACAGCATGCCAAACAAGGCATGAATAAAAAATATAACACAACCAAACTTTGTCAGACACCACCATAAAACACCAAGGCGCAAATAAAATAAATACACACTAAAATAAACTAAGAAATAAATTTCAAATCTCCCTCTAAGATACCAGCAGAGCCCCCTACCGAGTGAACAGGGAAACTTTACAGGCAATTTTGTAATGGCCGCCCACAAAATATCACCTACCACAAGTACAAACAAATAAATTACCTCGTCAAATTCATCCTTATTTTCCAATGCATTACATTTAAGAAGTCGGGGGATATAACCCTTATCCACCTCCATGCCGTTTAAAACAAATAACGCGCTCGAATTGGTCTAAAAGTGAAAAATAGTGTGGCCCAACATCCTGGGTGTTTGTCTTGCCCTCAAGAAATGCTTTCTGGCGAGCGCGGAGGAATACACTGCGCATGAAACGGGACGGGCGAGATCATGTGTCTGTGTGTGTGTGAAGAACGTAGTTCTGCGACATTTCACACAAACTTAAATTATTCTGATTGCACGCAAAGACACCTACTGCGGATGATTGTAATACGGATTTTGAAAGCCCCACTAAACTTATCAAATTGCTTACGGCCCATACTTAAATCAGTCGGTACCTCACTGAAATTTTCTTTGGCCGGTACCCCCTAAAAATAAATGAGCATGGCGACGAAAAAATTGTCTGCTGTTGTCACCCTGTAAAAAACCTCAAGTCGTCCAGACAAAAATTTTATCTATTTCTCATTAATTTTTAAATAAATGAAGCGATTGGGTTTTTTGAGCTTGGTGGTCTTCTGTCCCGAGGGGACAACGTGGGAGTGCCGTCGTCGACCTGTCGTCGACTTCGTCGATTTCGACGCGCCGAACCTCCCCTCCCCCTGCCCCTCTCCCACCGACACCGACGGGCCGTCGAGTCGACTCGACGACGACGACGAGGGCGACGGCGAACACTTCACCTCTCCACTTTGATCGGCGTGCTGTGGAGCCGTAAGTGTTGATTACTTGTGCTGTCTAGACATAACAGGTCAAGTCTTGTCAACGTATTGCGCAGGTGATGCCGGTGTTCTAACCTTTTGACATGTACATTCTGGTTTTACCGGATTAAATTTAGTTCATAATCGCCGGACTTGGAGGTTATTTTGTCCATTCAACTGCAGTATTAATGTGGAACAGATGTCAGATGTGTCCTGACAGTGTCTCTTACCCCCGTGTCTCGTTGGCGGTTGCCTGTGTCCTGCATAATTACGTGGTGGATTGTTTCATTCAGGTTTATGGGAAAATGTCTTCATTGATTTGTGCTTTCAGGTGTCACCATATTGAAGTCCACATAGCACGAAAATGGCTGACTTGAATGTGGGTGATTTAAAAATTGGTAAGTTGCATCAGTCCACAAAATTGAAACTATATCATTACTTTTAAAGAAAACATCAACGAAAACTGTTATGTTCTAGAACGATAAGCCATGTTCTTTACGAATGATTTTTTTCTGTGTTTTTAGGAGAAATTTACACTTCAGATAAAAATGGAAGTGATGAAAGTGGCAATGGTACGGAGGCAAAGCCCTATAAAACCATCATTCAAGCAATGAGACATGCTGGTAAAGAGCCTTTCCCAGTTATTTATGTTGATGGAAAGGAAGAGGGAGTGGTGAGTCTTTAGAGAATTCACACTGACACGTTGGCATACTGATCAGATTACTGTTTGTTTAGTCAGCTGTATCAAGGCCTCCCAGGGTCTGTCCGCTCTTGAGTCAATATGCATGATGTATACTGATGTATGCCCTTCTGAACTTAACAGTTTAAAATCAAAAGTACATAATTATACCCAATTGCCTTATTTTTATTTTTGTTCTCCAGAAATATGAAGCTGCTGCCAAATCTCAGCTAAAAAAGATAACAAAATTATGGGCTCGTGAGCAACACAAGAATGAAGCCAAATCCCAGAGGGAGGAGGAAGATGCTGAAAAGAGAAACAAGAACCTTGAAGATGCTAAGAAAATAAAAATTGAAGAAAACAAGAGCCTTCCTCCTGCTGAGCGTATCAAGATTTCCCACACTGCCAAATACAGAGACAGGAGGGTCAAGATTTTTGGCTGGGTTCATCGTCTGAGGCGTCAGGGTATGTTCTTATTTCACATTGAAGCAAGTCTTAATTGTGAAGTCCCACTTGTTTATTTGAAATTTGCTATTCTTCAGGCAAGGCTCTGATGTTTGTTACACTGAGAGATGGTACTGGTTTTCTCCAGTGTGTTATGAATGACCTTCTTTGTCAAACATATGAGGCCTTAGTTCTCTCCACTGAATCTTCTATCCAAGTTTTTGGAACTCTGAAGGCAGTTCCAGAGGGAAAGAATGTAAGTTACATGCTTTTATACCTATTCGCTTTGAAAAAAAAAAAAAACATATTGAAAATATTTTGTTCTAAAATTGGTAAATTTTTCCTTGAAATTATGAACTTTATTTTTCAGGCTCCTGGTGGTCATGAGTTGATTGTGGACTACTGGACTCTGATTGGTCTTTCTCCTGCTGGAGGGGCTGACAACCTTCTTAATGAAGATGCTCACCCTGATATCCAACTGGATAACAGGCACATGATGATTCGAGGAGAAAATGTGAGTTGAATTCCATCTGATTATTTATACTAATACTGCTAAGTATCAGCAAAAAAAAAAAAAAACGAAAACAACAAAACAAAAAACAACAACAAATGGCTAATAATGAATTTTTCTTTACAGACTTCCAAGGTTTTGAGAATGCGCTCAGTGGTATTGCAAGCTTTCAGAGACCACTATGCCAGCCGTGGTTACTGTGAAGTCACACCTCCTACCTTAGTCCAGACTCAGGTAGAGGGAGGTGGTACACTATTTAAGTTTGATTACTTTGGGTAATTGTTTTTGGTTTCCTGTTTAGCTCTTGTTGTTTCTTATTTTAACTGTTATTAATATTCCTCCTCTTTTCTTTCCTCCTTTCTAGTGAGGAAGCATTTTTGTCTCAGAGTTCTCAACTGTACTTGGAAACTTGCATCCCCACTTTAGGTGATGTCTTCAGCTTTGCTCAAAGTTACCGTGCTGAGCAGAGTAGAACCCGCAGACATTTAGCTGAGTATGTGTTTTCAGGAAGATGTCCTTGATTTGTTTAAATTATTTCTTAATTTTAAGTATTGATGACTATTTTACAATTTTCTGACAGATATACTCATGTGGAAGCAGAATGCCCTTTCATTACATTTGACGATCTCTTGGATCGCCTGGAAGATATGGTTTGTGACGTGGTTGACAGAGTCTTGGCCTCTCCTTATGGAGAAATTGTCAAGGAGTTGAACCCTAACTTCCAGAAACCTTCCAAGCCATTTTTACGTATGAACTACAGTGATGCTATCAAGTGGTTGAAGGAAAACAATGTTACCAAAGAAGATGGCACATTTTATGAATTTGGAGAGGTAAGAATTTTATGTGCTGTTGACCTTAATGTGGATCCTTTATTTGATGTATAATTTTCTTATCATCTTCAAATTTTATTTCCCACGCACAGGATATTCCAGAAATGCCTGAAAGAAAAATGACAGATGCAATTAACAAGCCGATCATGCTTTGCCGCTTCCCTGCTGAGATCAAATCATTTTACATGGCTAAGTGCCCAGAAGATAAAAGACTAACTGAATCGGTTAGTTTAGTTCCTCTACTCACTTAATTATTTATTATTGAACTCAGCTGCTTATTTATTAATTGTTATTATGCTATGTCAAATTAAACAAATTAAATTTTCTCTTTAGGTTGATGTTTTACTTCCTAATGTTGGTGAAATTGTTGGAGGATCCATGCGTTCTTGGGATTTGGAAGAGCTCCTTGATGGCTACAAGCGAGAAGGCATTGACCCCAAACCCTACTACTGGTACACAGACCAGGTAAATGAATTCTTTAAGTTTCTAGTGCTGATTGTCTTGTTAGAATATTTGTTTTCAATTTTTAATTTAAACTAATTTTTTAAACTTTTTCTTCTTAGAGGAAATATGGATCATGTCCTCATGGCGGATATGGTTTGGGACTGGAGCGTTTCCTGTGTTGGTTGCTCAACCGCTACCACATTAGAGAAGTTTGTTTGTACCCACGGTTTCTTGGTCGCTGCAGACCATAGATATTATCTTCTAATTTTTGTTTAACTTATATTCTGCATTTAAAGTGCTGAGCAGGCTGAAATGAATTTGAATAATGTAAATAATTGTTGCTGTTTGGGTGTTTTTATTCTTTTATAATCTCAATTTGCTTTTTTGAACATTGGCCAATCAGAGATAGGTGATAATAAAATCATGAAGCACACACTGTCTGACTTGTGAGTCCCCCGAGTTCCTTTCTTGTCACTGCGTACGTTGTTTGGAGAATATTGCCAAGTGGCGCGGCTTTGAGCGGTCGCTTGCGCGCGAAGTCGTGAAGTATCGCCGGAGTCGGAGTCATTGGTTCCGCGGCCGAGGTGGAGCGGCCCGTGCACCCTAGCATCGGCGAACGCCTTGGCCGCGCCGTCGGCACTTCCCCGCGGCGCTGGTAGGCAGCCCGTCACGCAGCAAGCTCCACTACCTCGAGGTGGGTGGGCTTGGGCCGTTGCGGCTCACAGCTCATGAGTTCACCCGCCGGCGTGGACCACACGAGACGAGACGGAACCCTTAGGTGCGGCACGACGGGCATGGCCACGCAGTCGGCCGGGATGGGACGCGGACGCGCGGACGCAGTGATAGCTGGCCACCACTACCACCACCACCGCGACCGCGCCAGCACCGCAGCACCGCCACCCGAGGACGGCGGCGGGTTCGGCTCCGAATGACCGCCGCGCCGGCGAATGAAGCAGTGGCAGTGTGCAGGCCGCCTGCTTCGCCTGCCCGAGCGTCCGAGCGAGCGCCACACAGTGGCTACACTGGCTCAGCAGCAGAGTCAATAGCGGTTAACCAGTTCGGAGGCGGGCGTACACATCTCGCGCTGCACACGTCCGTGCCAATCGCGACCTCCGAGCCGAGCTGCCCGCGCCCCGCGCCGCCCCAACGAGGCCCTCACCGTCCTGGACCTCGCCGAGGGGCACGCAGCCTTGCAGCACGCACCCCCGCGCGCCCGGCGGCGTGATCGGACCGATCGGACAGGTGGGTACTGTAGCACTGACGAGAGGGGCGAGTGAGTGAACGCACAAGTCTGCAGCGACCGATAGGGATTGGGGGAGGGGTAGGAGTGCTGCAGGTTCGGCCGTTTGGCCAGCCCCGCGACAAGTGTCCAGCCACGCCATGGCAACGCCACGGCAACGCCCCCGAGGGAAGTCGTCGAGCAAATAAAGCGCGGGTTCACAGTGGTTCACAGCACGGCCGACCCGGGCAGCGCCCTAAGAAATTGCAGACAACCCTGCTCAGGGAGCCGAAGATGCGCCTTCAACGATCGATGCGAAGACCAAATTTGGTTAGTCTGTCCCTGAATGAAACTGCGCTGTGGCCTGGCCGCGGCTGGGAAGGCCACTAGGCTGGGCTAGCGTGCTGGGACTTCCCTCAGCCGCTGCGGCGCTGCCGTGTCGTGCGTGGCCTACTTGGAGCCTCATAGTTTTATTTCGGGAAAACAGTCCTAATCAGTAGTCTTCCATCTGAGGCCCCCTCCTCGCCCATGACTGGAGCAGGAACGCCCTATGTGGAGGAGAAGGCAATGTGAAATGGGCCAAACGCACCGCACTCACCGTAGATCGCAAAAGTATGCTGTTGTCGAGTCGTGAAGTTCCATTAGTTTTATTTTTTCACAGCCTGTTGATCGTCTGTGAGGACGTCTCGATAGCTGACGCTTGTTTTCCTTGTGCATACGTAGCAAGCAGCAGCAAGCAGCAGCCGGCGCCCCTTTCGGCGTAAAAGTACCTAGGTAAGGTGCGTAGGTACGTTTTTCAGGGTTTATAACAGTACTGTTACTTTAAGAAAAATGTCCGCATACGTACCAGGTATCAGTTTCGGAGTACCGGTCCGAAAGCCTTTGGTTTTTTCAGTACTAGCGTGGACCGTTGACGGAGCGACGGAATGAGATAAGCCAATACAAGCGCCGCAAGCGAGCCAAGGCCCAAGACCCCGGAAGAAACAGGGCAGGCGGCCACTGCACAGGGCAAGGCCAAAGCCGCACTCTGAGATGAGACAAAAAGCCATCCAAGCCGGCGCTGCGGGTTGCCAAAATTGCGGGAAACCGCCATCGGCTGCAGCACAGAGAATTGCGGGGGGGTGAGGAATGGTCCTGCGCTTTCAGAACTTTGGTGTGTCGAATTGACGCGGGATGGTTGAGAAAAATGTAGGGTACTTTTGGGAATAGGAAAAGGAAAGAAACAATTGCGTTCCGTTCGTGATGTGTGATTGATTTATTTACATATCGCGCCCATAAGTCCCCTATTATCACCCGAATCCTAAAACGTGCTTAGGTACTTTTGAGAGTTCCGGTAAAGTACCTGGTGGACTTGCTCGAGTACCAATACAGTACAGGTACTAACTTTTCAATTTTACCGGTACAGTACCTAGGTACAGAACCGACAGTACCTTGCCCACCCCTGGCAGCAGCCTCCCCGCCCCTTTCGGCGAATGCTTTTCCCCGCGCAGAAGGCAGCGTGCGGCCGTGTTTTCGGGCTTTATAATGTCACGATATTGTTTATTGAATGTGCCGCATGAGTCAGGGCCGCGGGAGGTTCGCGATTCGTCGTCGTCCGCAGCCTCGTTGTACTGGTACACTACAAGACCAGACCAGGGCACCGCGGCACGGCCGGCCGGCCGGCCGGGGTCAAGCCACGCGCCAAGCGCCGCCAAGCGCGCCAAGCTCCCGTTTGTCCAGGGTTGCCAAAACAGTGCGGGAAAGCTGCGTGGGAGGGAGGGAGCGGGGGATGTTTGCGTGGGGCTTGCGCAACTGAGATTTCGTTGCAGACTTTGGTACTACTGAGTCGCTTAAACTTATGGTTGGGAAGCGACTGTCGCAGGTACTGGCGAATTCGGGCGAATTGATGGACGCACAAGGGCGTTTCAGGTTCATCTCAATAATAATTTAATCACATATCGCGCTCTTCGTCGTACTCATTTTTTCCCGCGCAATCGGCACGTGCTTTGTGTCCCGTGCGCGGATTCGTCTTGTGTCTTATCTCTGTGGACGGGCGATCGAAGGGCTCCTGCAGTGCAAGGGATGCTGCCACTTGCCTTAGACGCCCTACCCTCGTCAAACCTGCCACGGGGGTTTCCTTGAAATCCTCAGGCTCCCTGCAACCACGCGCACAGTCTGTGAAATCATTTCTGCTTGTTTTACCGCGCAGCCACAGTTGTATCCTATCTTTCTCAAATGTCAGCCTGGGCGGCGGCGCTGTGGCTGGGCCAGCCCGGGCCGGGCCGGGCCGGGCCGGGCGTGCCGCGGGGTTGGTCGAGACCGTTTGAACTTTGTCCGCTGTGATAGCACCGGGGGGAGGGACGAGGCGAGGGACGGGGCAGCCTGGCCCTCGGCCTGGCCAAGCCTGGCAGCCCCAACGTGCTCCGCTGTTCTGGCCGGCCGCCGAGTCCGGCGAGTCGGCATCGTCGGCGTGGTTCTCGGCGGCCGCGGTCTCGCGAGGCGGAACGGCGCGGGGCGGCGCGGGGCGGGCGGGAAGAAGATGCCTCGGCCAAGTAAATGACTCGCAGTCGATTCCGTTTCGGACAGCTCCTGGGCGCTGGCGCGCTGGCCCCTCCGCGTCCCCTCCCCCTTCCAGCAATGCGAGCAAAGGCAGTCCGAGGTCCGAGGGCACCGCGCGACCAGCGTGACCCTTGCAAGCCGACTGCACCATTCATTGGGCGACTCCCCAAAGCACCGCGGCACCGCGGCGATGGCGCGATGGACCTGGTGGCGGGCAAGCTGGTCATGAGGACAGTCAGGACTCGTGTCCGCGCTGTCAACATCTGGTTTCCACTTGAGGCCGGCGGCCGGCACGGCACGCGGCACTGTTTTGCCGTTGTGCCCTCCGTCGGGCCGTCAGGCCGTCAGCTGTGCAAGGCATCGCCAGTCCGCCAGTGCCTCCTTCGCCTTCCCCGCACCGCCCGCACCCCTCGGGCCGCTGCTCATTCACAGGACGGCCGCGTCCGAGATCGTCGTCCCGCGGTCGCCGTCCCTCCCATGACGCCGGCCAATTGGAGGTCCTGGCCCTGCTGGCCGTGCTGCCGTGGACGCAGCCAGGCGGGGCGGCGTAGGCACGGCGTGGCGCGCGGCGTACTTTGTGGTCTCCAGGGGTGGGGGGGTACCGGAGGGCAGGGTACCGCAGGGCGGGGTACCGGGTGGTGTGTCTCTGAGCGCGCTTCCCATTGGCCGCGGCGCGTTCACGTGACGGCCGTGGTGGCGTGGCGTAGCGTAACACGAGTACGAAGGCTCCAAGGCGCGCGCAAACGGCCGCCGCACCGCCGCGGCGTCAACGGCGCGCTCGGGGAGCTCCTTCGGTTCGGCGCCATCGGCACGGCGGCGTGGCCGTGTTGGCCGGCACGGCGTGGCCGCCCCGCCAGCCGCGCGTCGAGGTTGAGGTTGGCCGGCAGCGTCAGTCTCAGTCTGACTTCCGCTCCGTCACGTCCGTCACCCGGTCGACGTCTTGCGCGCGCGCCCAGCGTCCTTGCGCGGAGTGTCCGTCGCCGGCCTTGACATCCTCGCCGTCCCCGAGGTGCGTGGTCGTCTACCCCCGCGCCACCGCGGCCGCTGACGTCGCAACGCGTGAATCACTGCACGGCTTGGCGCTGGCGCGGTCGTGTACTTCCTGGACTTCCCCGGGCGTCGCCCTGTCGCGCTCGCTGCATGGCGCAGGCTTGGCGGGGGAGCCGTAGAGACCCGCGGAGGGGAGGCTTTTGTTTACATGCCACGGGGAGGAGCCGAAGAGGGCGCAAGCACGGCGCAAGCAGACTGGCAGACTGCAGCGGCGAGGCGAGTGACGGCATGGCAATGCCGTCGTGGCTGCCGTGGCCGCTGCCACCGTCGTCGCGAAGCTGTGACGCTGTGACGGCGCGGCGCGCAGCAGCGGAGATGGCAACCGATAAACACAGGCCGACAGGGACAAGTAGTCGGGGTCGCATGTGGCGCTGGCGGGGCGGGGCGCGGCGAGGCGTGGGCGTCATTGCGTGTTCCGGTGGTCATTGACGCGCGCCTCCATGTCGCCACCAGCGGGTGTCACCAGGACTCCCCCAGGCATTGTGATGTAAACGCCTTTCTTGTTTCAGGAAGGCGGCCAGGGTGACTGACGTCTGCCGCTTATCAGCACGTGGTGGCCCCCGCCGCCCCGCCCCGCCTCTCCCGGCCCCACCCCGCCACGCCCCGCCACGCCCCGCCCGCGGCCCCCGGCGTAACCCCGCTCTCGAAATCAATCAAGTGGCCGGCGCCGAAATGATCGCAAACACGAGCGGGGTCCTGATCCGGACCATGCTCTTCCTGGTGCAGAACAACCACGTGATGGCGGACAAGCGGATCGACACCAACACGCTGTACCACATCAAGACGGGCGAGAGTGAGTACCACAGCCGCCACCGCCGCCACAGCGCGTCAGGGCGGACTGATACCGGAGTCGGTTTCTCGCGAATGGCGCGGCGAACCCATTCCGTGGAGAGTCGTTTTCGTCACTCTGTCTCTCTCGCACCTCCAGGGGACGCCTCACGAGTGCGAGAGAGACAGAGCGACGGAAACGACTGCCGGAATCAGTCCCGAGGATTCACATTCGCATGCTTCACATCTTTCGAAATCTGCCATTTCCCTGCTGAGATAAGGCAACTAACGTAGACCGGGTTAGTCTAGCCTCGGCCGGCGCGCCGCCCGTACCCCAGTGCACCAGTGCGAGGCGAGGGCGCATCGCACCCGCAGCGATGCACTTGAGACGAACGGACGGACACGGCCAAGCCGATGAACGGCAGCGGCCTTGCTTCGCCTCGCTTCGCCTCGCTTCGCCTCGCTTGCACCCGCACTGATAGCGCCTGCCCTCTCTTTTTATCGAATCGGTTCTCTCTCGGTCAACGAGCCAAACGTGACGCCTGGCCTCCGACAAAGAGTGTCAAGGCGCGGTACTTCCGGTAACCCAATTTCAGAGATTCTCGTTTTGCACAACGCTTGTCGAAGTCGAAACGCGATGTTCGCCGCGAGCCACGCCAGTGGCGGCCTTGCCGGGCCCTGGGCCGGGCCCTGGGCGCCGAGTCATCCTGTCTGAGACGCAGTTGGATGCGTGTAGTTTGATGGCATCGGGTCCATCAATGATGAGCGGCATGTGCACGCCGACACGCCGACCAGACTGACCAGACGCGACGGGGCGCTGGCGTCTGGCACGATAGCGCGGCGCCGGGGTGACCAGGGTGACGTCACGCGGACGGGTCGGCCGTGGCGCCGTGATAAAACCGGGCTGAATTCCTGAAAAAGCCCGCCAAAGTGAGTGTCTTTGTGTGACGCAGGCCACGCCACTACTAAGTGCTTCGGCAACCTGACCGAGTACGGCTGCTACTCGCTGGGGGAGCCCTGGACGTCCGAGGCCAGGCCCATCTCGCTGTACCCGGAGCCGCCCGAGGTGCTGGACGTGCAGTACTGCCTGTACACGCGGCGGAATCGAACATGCCAGGTGAGTAGGGGTGTACCCAAGGGTGTACCTCCCTCTGTCTCACTCCCACCGACGGGCACCGCGACGGGCAATCTCGTCCTCGCCGCCCTCGCGGTGGCCGGAGCTCAGCCTCAGCCTTTTCGGGCGATAGCTATCATCTTACTATACACGTCTATTTGCGATAAATGTAAGACGATAAAGTTTAGAACTTTGAACTGTTATCTGTTGCTTTTGAACTTCTCCACTATCGGATCCGGACTGACCCTGTACTTTCATAATCCCTCAAGTCGATACGACCACACGCGGCCCGCGTCTCTAACTTTTTCGTCGAAAACATAAAAAACACGAGGAAATCCGCCTGGCGGTCAGAGAATGAATTCAAAACGGAACTCCAGTGGATACCTTATGTCAATATAAGAGCCGCTTGCTGGGGTCAATGACGCGGTTCTCTTGGACCCACGTCTGCAGTGCCCTGCGGTGCCTCTAGTCTGTCTGTAGCGGTCTCTAGTCTCTCGATATCGATAGTCGACGTGCTGCACCCACTCACTCCGCGGCAGGACGGACGACGGAGGGTCCCTGAGGGGACTGCCTTTGCTTCTGAAATAGCTGGAGCTGGAGAGAGGGGGACGGGCAGGGGCACTTGGCACTGATGGAGGCGTTATCGGCGACCTTGCCGAGGCGTGCCCTCTCGTTTACGTTTTGCCGCCCCAACTGAATTTGCCCTCTCCCCCTTTCCCCGGCCGCCACGCCACTTATCCTCCAGACGACGCATTGGGCTGTCCACAGCTGCTGGAAGTAACAGAGACTACATCCATCTCCAGATCGTCGCTCGTCCCCGGCCACCGCACCTACTTCCTGGCACACGGCTTCATCGAGAGCGGCGACAAGCCATGGCTGCAGGTACAGTGGGCCCCACTAAGACGCTGCACTGTGGGCCAGAAGACCGGTGAAGGCGGTTGAATTCCCGGAAGCGTTTTGAGCTCCAGCATTGCTGAATACTGAATGGGACTCGAACCGATCGTGATGACGTCACCAATGGATTGCTCTCCGAACGAGGAATCCATTGGTGGGGTCACACGATTGATTTGAGTCCTGTTTAGCGACTCTGGGACTCAAAACGCGTCTAGGATTTTGGCCGCCTGCGCCGGTCCTCTGGCCCACTGTGCGCTGGTGTTGTCGCACCGGAACGGCCTACTGACCCCTCCTCTCCCCGTTGCAGCTCATGAAGGACCGCCTGCTGGAGCGCGCCGACGTGAACGTGGTGATTGTGGACTGGGGCCGGGGGTCCGGGCCGCCGTACAACCAGGCCGTGGCCAACATCCGCATGGTGGGCTACATCACGGCGTGGCTGCTCTTCCGCATGAAGGTGAAGGTTGGCTCCGTATCGCGTTTATCCATCGCCACTTCCCTCTGACGAGGTGTCATTCTCTCGTTTGCGCAGATGGCAGTGGGCTTGAACCCCGAGCTCTGTCACATCATCGGCCACAGTCTCGGGGCGCATCTGGCGGGGTACGCTGGCTACCACCTTCGGGAGGACTTTCGGCTCAAACTCGGACGCATCACGGGTAAGTCTCCAACCTGGCGTCGCGAGTCGCGAGGAGGCTCGACGCTCAGCGCCGTGCGGGTAGGCAGCCCAGCCGACGCGACGCGCAGCACTGCGCGGCACGAGCACGTTGGGCTGCCCGTCCTCTCGACTGCAGGGGCTCGTGGCCAGGCCGTCTGGCCGCCAGGCGGTGCCAGGCCCCCTAGAGTGCCAAGGGGCCCCTCGCGAACCCTCCCCCAGAGAGCGCAAGGGGGGGCACTCCTCAGCCAATCCAGACGATTGGTAGCCCCTTTCGGAGCGGGAAACCCGCGCCCGCCACACCGGTCAGCAGGGGGGCCCCCGGAACCCCCCTCCGTGGGGGCCTTTTACCCACGGGGCACCCGTGGTTCGTTTTGACGGATCCACACGGAGCCAAACACCCGACGGGGCCCCTGCGGATCGAGGAAACCCGTTCGCCCCGCGGACTTCTACCGGAACGGGCGGCAACAATACAGCCGGGCCCGCGAGCCCGAAAATCGTGCCTTCACTCCAGGAAGACGGCAAACCTGGTTCGCATTGGTCGAGGGCCGATGCCGGCCCTGCGGGCCCAGCCCTGGGGGCCCACCCGCCAACAGACAACGCTTTCGTTCGGTGGACCCCCGGGATCAAAAACTTCAGGGAGCAACCCCCCGTCCGCCGCCCCACGGGGGTGTTCTGACGAGACCACCGGACGCCCCGCCCAGGGGCGGATTCCTGGGGCCCCTGGGCCAGGGGCTTCTACCCGAACGGCGGCAACAACCAGCCGGGCTGCGAGCAGAACATCTTCAGCTTCATCTCGCAGGAAGACGGCAGCCTGTTCAAAGGTTGGTCGAGGCGATGCCGGCCGTGCGGCGGCCGTGCGGCCCACTGCCAACAGACTAACGCTTTCGTTCGTGTGGACAGGCATCAAGAAGTTCATCGGCTGCAACCACGTCCGCGCGCACGAGTTCTTCTCCGAGACCATCCTGCGCACGCACGCCCAGTGCGGATTCTGGGCCGTCGAGTGCGAGAGCTTCGACAAGTTCAGAAACGGGTCCTGCTTCGCCTGCACGCCGCCGGTAAGGGAGGGAATGCTGCGCAATGCTGCGAGGGCGAGCGGAGATACTCCGCGCTGGAGAGGCACCAGGGCCGGTCGGCGTGGGGTATCGCCGCGTTCCCTGCCTGCTTGGGTCTGAATCGCCCCAGGGGAGGGCGAGGCGCCACTCATGAAGTGTAGTACGGTGCCGTTGTCGTTGGCTGCGGCCGTTCAATGGGTATGCTGTGGCATTTTGCAGGGCCACCACCACCCCCACCACCCCCACCAACCCGGCACCAAAGTGGCGCACAGCACGCACAGCGGCCCCCTGTGCGCCAGGATGGGGCTGGAGGCGGGGCAGAAGCGCTTCCAGCACGCGGGCCGCCCGGTCCGCCTGTACCTCCTCACGGGCGCGGAGGCGCCTTTTTGCAGTGAGTGTACACTTTGTACTTCACTTGGATACACTTGAGGGCGCTGTTTGCGCCTGCGCGGCTGCGCGGCTGCGCGCGCTTCGAACATTGATCAGCACTTCGACTTTTGCCGTTCCTTTCCAGGGTGGCTGTACCTCATCACCGTCCAGTTCTCCTCCAGCAACAAGTCCGTCACGGACGGTGGAGAGGTGGGCAAGATCAACGTGTCTTTGCGGGGGGATGCAGGGGTCGCCAAGGACATGCACCTGTACGACCGGTGAGTAGGTTGAACGGCAAAACAAGTGTGACTAAGTTCTAGAAGTGTGAAATCGGACACTTGAGAGCGACGAGGTACAACGAATGAACTGAATCTCAGATTACTTGAGTGAGTCATCCCCAATCTAGTGCCCCCTCTTGAGACAGATTATGACTAATTCCCCAAAAATGCCCCCTTCCCTTCCCCAGGGAGACGTACTTGGCGCCGGGCAGCACCCACCAGCGCGTCGTGTCGGGCGCGCGCGTCGGCACCATCCACAGCGTCACCGTCACCTTCGAGTACGTGACCTCGGTCAACCCGCTGACGTGGCGCTTCTTTGAGGTCACCAAGATCCACGTGGCGTCCATCACGGTCGAGTCCCTGAGCGTGCACGGCAAGGATAGGCTCAAGCTCTGCACCAAGGACGACACCATGGTGTCCGGCAAGCCCGTCACGCTCACCAGAGCCAACGACTGCGGCTGAGGCTGACGTCGTCCCGGTCCCCGGAGACCCCGACCGCCGACAGGGCCTCGGACGCCTCCACGCCGACGGCCCGACGGCCGGGGCGTTGTCCGAGGCCGCCAGTTTGACCTGGAGCCCGACATCCCAGGACATCCCTGGACATCCCTGGACATCCGGGACTCCAGATTGACCTGCTCGACGTCATGACCGTCGTGTATGTGGTGGGGTGGTGCTTGTGCCCCCAGCACCGCACCTCGCCGGTCGCCCAACGACTCAAGACTTTGCTCGACTGCAGTGCCTGTGTGTGACTGTGTATACCTGCGTGTGAGTGTCTGTGTGTGCGTGTGTTTGTGTGCGTGTAAAAATAATGACGAATTAGAGAGAACCACTGCTGGTTCGAGCGCTGGGTCTGATGAGAGTGATCTGGATCCGATCGCTCAGGTCATTGTGTGGTTCCAGTTACTGTAGAGTATGGGGCCGCCTCCAGTTTGAGTATCAGTATTTGAAACTACCAACCATGTCAACTGGCGGCGAGTAGTGATGAGCAGTATTTATTTTTTATGTTTAATTAGATTATAATGCATGGTGCCCTTTTTATTCCTATTGTGATTGTCATTGTCTTTCCCTAGAACTTGTTAACTTATTGTTCTTAATGATGTATGGTGTCATGAGAGACATGATAACTAATTTCCACTTTTGTGGCACTTTTGTGAGATGGGTGAATGTATCTCTGAGAAATATTATTTATTTTGATGGTCCTGCTGTGGATGTACTTATGTGTTTAAGTTTTGTGGTATCCTAAGATGCAGCTGACGTGCCTACTTGATATGTGGAAGTACTAAATAATCAAAAAAACAAGATTCAAACAAATTTTTTAAAAAATCTTTGAAAAACAAAAACAAAAACAAAAACAAAACATTGAGTATGGCTGATGCAGGAGTGTCATTTTTCTCAAAGTACAGGAGATTAATAAACCACTTTATAAAGAAAATAATATTTATTTGCGACTGAGTCCTTCCTCTCTTCATTTCTAGTATAACAAATCTTAAGATAATAATGATCACAAAGGTAACACATTCATCACTAGAGTATTTGGCGAAAATTACATAGGTTTGTATGTAATGAAACTTACACTATCAGGAAATATAACTAGAAAACTCAGGTGTTGTTCCTAACAAAGAAATCCTTTTCCATTCTTGCCCGTAACAATTATTTTACGCTACTCCATACTGTACGTTGTTTTTGGCAAGATGCAAAAATTTGGTGAGTAACAAAAATAAATGTACTAATTACTTTTCATTTTAAATGTAAAACCCTAAGTTCAAGTTCATACAAAATTAGACAAGAAAAACTTAACAACTTTCTACAATTTACAATACAGAAACAAGAATCACAATGAGAAGGATTTCAGACATAATAAACACATAGAAATTATACGTACACATTCTTAAAATATTGGTCATATGTTGTCACTACAAACTATAAAGCAAAGTAAAACCCAACCATCAATATGGATAAAACTAGGTCAGCCTGATATGGTAAAGCCCTTTGACGACAAGAGTACTTGGAGCACACTTGGCGAACTCTGTCTGGGTGGGGGTACCAAGTACCTCGTCCCTACTCCGGCTTGAACACTGTGGGATACGAGTTGTAGGACTCCGCAGCGTCCATGGTGAGCGCCAGCGGGGCCATGGTAGGGATGGTGGGCACGGAGGGGGCGTAGAGGCCCGGGTACGACATCCAGTAGGGCACGGGCATGGGGGCGTACATGAACTGGTACAGGGGGTGCACGGGCAGGGGCGCGGTGGGCGCGGTGGGCGCGGTGGGCGCGGTGGGCGCGGTGGGCGCGGTGGGCGCGGTGGCGCCGGGGAGCGGCCGCTTGGCGGAGTACCGGTCGCCGTAGAGGATGTCGTCAATGCCGAAGCCTCGGGTGGACGGCGGGCACAGCCTCAAGGGAGGGGTGGGGGTGCGGCTGGCCGGCGGGGTGGGCAGGCCGCGGAACGCGAAGGCCTCGGCATCGGACCGGTCGGACGACGCCGAGGACGTGGAGCACGCCGAGGACATGGGGCTGGCGGCGCTGTCGCGGCGCTGCATCATCTCCAGGGCCTCCTTGGCGCCTTGCAGCACGGCCGTGGGACTCTGGCGCTGGTTGCGGCGGCACTTGGCCTTGCCCGTCTCGCGGAAGCCCTTCGCAAAGGGGTTGTTCTCGATCTTCTTGCGGGTGATGACGTCATTCTGCACAAAACAAACGAAACGGGTGCTGTTAGTCCACGGCTCGCAAAGCGCGCTACTAAAAACATATCAAATTCAATGGGTGCTTGTGAAACGTACCTGATAGGCCGTCACGGCGATGAACTCGGTCTCCGGGAAGAAGACGGTGGTCACGGGGAGGCTGGACGCCAAGTGGTGGCCCTGCATGTCGGCGCCGCGGATCACGTGCAAGTAGGGGATGTATTTGTGCATCGAGGTGAGGACAATCTGCGGACAAGAGAAAGAGAGTCGCAATCAGACGCGAGCCGCGCGCAAATCACGCCACACCGCCACAGCGTGACAACGCAAGGCACCTGACTGTACTTCTGCACTTACGTTGCCCCTGCCGTCGACCGTGCTGTTGGAGATCTTGGCGTTCTTCAGGTCCACGTCGCACCAGGTGGCGTGCTTGTCGGGCACCACGGACTGGACGTAAGTGCGGTGCTCGTCGAACTGGGGGTCGGCCTCGCCGGCGTCCACCCAGTGGTTGTTGGAGAACTTGAAGCGGCGCGGGGCGGCGAGGCGCATCTCCAGCACCACGGTGTAGTGCTCCTCGGGCTGCAGCCCGTACAGGCGCACCTTCAGCTTGGGGAACAGGTTGCTGCGGGCAGAAAGAGACGGCAACGTTAGAGAAACGGCAGGTACCACACCGGCTCTCTCGCACCTCTACTTGTCGCCCCAAGTGCCAGAGAGAGACACTTCCCCTCCGGCTCGGCATCAGTCCGCCGACTCGACGCCGCGTCTAGACTGAGGACGGCGCTAAGGACCCCGAAGAGCTTTCGCAGACTCATGTTTTAATCCTGGCGACAAGGCGACACGGCGTGGTGCTGGACAGGACAGGCAGGCCTGGGACTGCTGGCGCGGCGGCGCGGCCCGACGCGACGGGGCGGAGGGCAGCGTAGGGCAGCGGAGGGCCGTAACGAGGGGCGGTGCGTTCTGCAGCGTCACCGAGCGTCACCCGGCCCGGGCCTACCTTGGGCACCTTGGGCCTACCGCCACCGCCCACCTTTCTCATCACAGTGCACCGCCGAACGACGGGCAGCAAGCCAGCGCAGCGCATGGCAAAGGCGGCGACGACTTGGGCCCATGTCAGTGCACTAGCCTGATTCCGCACATCGTCTCGTCGCTGTCTTCCTCGCACGCAGGGGGCGTCCCGTATGAATGCGAGAGAGACAGCGATCGCTCTGCAGTCATTCAACGAAACAAAAGGCAGGAAGGAAGAGCGATAAGGTGACGCGCAGCATGGCCTGGACGACCCGCCTCGCCTGCCTGAAGGACCTCGACAACCTCGACGCGGCGACCCCCGAGGAGGCCCAGACCGAGGAGGGGCGGGCTCGGCTAGCCGGGGACCTTCGGGGACGGCGCCAGAGCTCTCAGACCCTGGACGGCGCCACGCAGCGCCACACAGCGCCACACAGGGGGACATTCCGGGCGGACTAATTGCGAGGTCCTGCTCTGTGTGCAAATAACACAAAGCTTCTCGCCTGGCCTGCAGAGCCGCAGCACATGGTCTGCAGGCAGACCAAGAAGTGCGTTGCCGCCGAGGTGTGGCGCAGTGGCGCCGAGTCGGCAGGAAGTGCACTGAAAGTGCCAAGCCCAGTGACACTCCGGGCAACACAACAAGCGTGTCGCCGCGGCGGACACCCTCATTGCTCATTATCCCGCCATGCCGCCGCCCCGTCGCCTTTGACGCGCTGCTCGCCGTGGTCACCGGGGCCATCTGCATGAAGCGCCAGGTGGTGGCGCCCCTCCCTCGTCATCATCGAGGTGTTCTCAGAGTCAAGCGACACGCATCTTTTATCTGAATGCCACCTGGACTGCCTGCACTTGAACTCTCTCTAGCCACTGGGCCGCAAAAGCAGAAAGTCAATCTTTGGTGTCGCGCCGCGTCGCTTTGAGACAGACACGCACGCTTTGCTATGCGGGCAGAGGAACCCAACGAGCGCGTCACGACACTGCCCGGTCAGCGTCAGCCGGACTAGACCGTCTCCGCGGCCCTCACCTCGCCTGGCTTTTAGACCTGTGGTGTGATAGGCCGAGGCGACAACTGCGCCCCCCCCCTTCCCCTCACACCACTACTGCACCGAGACAAACAGGGCTGGCGTCAACCAGGCGAGCGGGCCGAGGCGACTTTGAAGGCTCCGGAGGCCCCCGAGCCCCCAGGGCCCCGTCCGGGTCTGGCGCCCCGTCAGTGTAGAAAACCATCAGGCAAAGTATGCGCGCTGTGGGGGAAATTTGACACCCGGCGCCGCCAGAGTGGACATGGCGCCAGGGCACTGCCAGGGCGCCGCCGTGGGGCTACCTGCTGCACGCGACACGGAGGCATAGACAGGCACGGCGCTCTGGCTCTGACGCAAGGCGCAAACAACCGTACCGCACCGCCAGGCCGCCAGGCAGCTATCTCCGGCACGGCGACATCGCGGCGGGGCGGCGGGGTTACCGTTCGTCGCTCTTCGCCGAAAATGCACACTCAGTTGTTGTTGTTGGTCCAAATCCAACGACCAGCGGGTGAGAGGTCACACATGCAGACACTGCGCGTGGAAGGGGTTACTCACTCCACTCTCAGAGGTGAGGCCGCCAAGGCGGTCCAAGTAGACAAACGGTACCGTGGCGCCAAAGCGGCGTTTACAAGGGTTTAGGGTTGTCGCCGCTTCGAGTGGGAGCGGGGGCGGGCGGGGGCGGGGCGGGGGCTCGGCGGGCTTGGTGGGGGCGGCGGGGCGGGCTGGCGGCTGCAGTGGGCTGGCTGCTGGCGCCCCGACTGGAAGTCAAGCATGCGGACCCCCGCCCCCCGCCCCGCGCCCCGCCCACCGAGCGGCGCCACCGTCCGCCACTTCCAGCGTGACATCACGACACGTCGGACACGTCCTGCTGTCGCCACCCCGTCGCCGCCACTCCAGGGCGGGGCCCTGCCGCCCTGCCGCCCTGCCGCCCTGCCCTGCTACCCTGCCCTGCCCCACCGCCCCGCGCTGCCCCGCCCTGCTGTCGGGCGTACCATGACCTAGCGCCCCGCCGGCGCCCCGCGAGCCCCGCGACGCCCGCGACGCCCGCGACGCCCCGCGACGCCCGCGACGCCCCGCGACGCCCCGCGACGCCCCGCGCGCCCCGCGACGCCCCGCGACGCCCCGCGTGCAAGTCGCCGACTGGAGCCGCCTCGGCACGTGGAAGGGGGCGGCAGCTTGCGGCCGCGGTGTTGACGCGCGGGGGGCTGGTGGCCGGGGATGGCACGCGAGGCACGCGCCCCGAGTAGCCGCAGAAGTGTCGCCGCGAGGCCCCGGGCCGATGTGTTGCCCCCAGTACGTCACCAGGGCCTTCCCTTGCCCGCGCGAGGCACCCCGGCAACCCCGGCCACCCACCCGCCCGCCAGCGCCGCCAGCGCCGCCAGGCAGAGGGCGCCGTGGGCCACGCAGATAACCTGACGCCACTGAGCCGTCTCGAGCGAGCTCATTCCGAACACTGCTTTCGCTCTCCGCACTCACCGTGAGAGTGCGAGAGAGACAGAGCGACGAAGCACCGTCCGGAATCAGACTGCTGGCCGACGGCTACGCCGGGCTACGCCGGGCAACGCGCTCCACTGCACGGCACAACACGGCCAGGGCGGCCAGGGCGATGGAGAGCCACGGCGCGACACGGCTCGGCCCGCCGTAAGCACGGTGGCGCCACACTCCCACCTGGAGCAGGGAGTGGTCGCGGCCGCACCTTGTCATCGCCTCGTCGCCGGCACCGCCACGGCACCGCCGGCCTGTGGCACGCAGGGCACGCACTGGCGGAGTGGCTGGCTGGCCTCCAGGCGCCTCCAGGCTCACGCCGCGCCACCCCCGCCTGTGTTTACAACGCGGAGGCGCCGGCCGCCGTTTCAGACAGCGGAAATTTTTTTCACAAAAAAGGGGTGCGTGCGCCAATTTTGATGTAAGGTGTGCTGGTGGTGGCGGTGCACTGCAGACTGCCGTGGCTCTGCACCCCAACAGGCGAGGGGGATGCGTTTCCGGGCGTGCAACACAACGCAGCCTCGCTGCCGGGGCCATCACCGCACAGCGCCGCACAGCGCCGCACAGCGCCGCACAGCCATACGTTATGCCGGCTTGTAAACGCTGCCAGTTTAGCAGCCCCCGCGGCCCGCGCACCGCGCACCACCCAGCACGCGTTTTTTCGCCGCCCCCGAACGGGAGCAGTCGAGACGGAACACACACACGCACACACACTAACGCACACAGACTGGAGCCGTCTGGAGATGCTGGAGGAGGGCGGGGCAGGACCCTCGACTAAACAAACACATTTTCCGAAGCATCATCGGCACGGCGCCCGGCCAGCCAAGCCCCGGCTCGCCCCGCCCCGTCGTACCACACGCACGGCGACCAGGCGATCCGGGCGGCGCCGGAAGCCTGAATGGCTCGGGGACGCCAAATTAATCGTCTCGCGATTTGGCAATCACTCGGCCAGGGAGCCAGGAAACAGGAGACGCACCCCGCGCCGACGCTGACAAGTAGGAGGCACGAGATAGCCTCAGCGAGGTGAGCGGGGTCAGCACCGCCCGCGCCGCGCCGCCGCGGCTCGTGGCCGTGCAGTGCAGCAGCGCGGCCCGCGGCGTGATGGGGCCGACCCGTGACCCCGCGCCGCGCCGCGCATGCACAAACCAAAACAAAGCGGCCGCGATGGCCAATCCACAATCACGGCAACGAGGAGAAGCGGCGGCCGCACAAACAAGGCAAGCTCCGGCCCGCCTCTCGCCCTGGCGGAGCGCCGCCAAAATGGAGCCATTTTTTTGGGCCCGTTTACCGCGTGACGTGTGTGGCACTGTGTGGCGGCGGGGCCCGGCGGGACAGGTACTCGGGGCACTCCTTGTGGGGCGCGGGGGCGGCGGCTTGTTGCGATAATGGGGCCAAACAAGCAGTCACGTCCGAGTCGACCTAATAAGCTCCGGAAACATCTCCTTCCCAAATTGATCCGTCCCCATCCAGGCCATCCAGGTGGCTGGGCTGGCCGGCTAGTTAGAGTGCTGTTTGTTTGCCTTGCGCCGACCCACTGCCAAACCACGGCGCGTAATGGCCCAGGGCCTTGATGGAGGAGGCCGCGCCGCCGGGCTGCACAGTGTGGCTGCACGGTGAAGCGGAAGTACGCTGCATCGCGGTCCTGGTTCCGGCTCTGCAGCATCTCCTCGCCTCCACCCCACGCACGCCACGCACCGCCTCGCCGATGACGGAGGCCTCGGCGTTTCTTCCGCCCTCGCCCCCTCCCCACCCCTTCCCCACCCCCTCCCGGCCACCCCCACGCGACAGGTGGCCGCGGGGAAAGCTCTCGCCCCCTCGCCCACACAGCAACTAATCCCAGTTGGCAGTACTCACCGGCCGGACTTGGTGATGATCATCTCGTTGCCCTCGCGGTGGAACTCGCGCCACAGGTTGGCTTTCGTCAGCTCCATCCTGATGGGGCCTGCATCAGCCCGGCCCACTGCAATCAGAGAGAAAAGCCGTCAGCGAACGGTACGGTGGACTTGTTGTCGCGTGTTTTCCGCAGAAACGGGAAAAGGGAACAAAACCACAAAATGACTACGAGGAAAACAACAGGCCTTTCTCATTAAAATCTCGCCGACGGCCGACGGGTTCCAATCTGAATTTCCCCGATTCGACGCACCGCAAAAAAAGGGAAGGCACAAAAACGCGCGCGAGACTAACATTTCAGTAAACGCATTGTCCGCGCGCAACATGTGCGGGGAGTAACGGCACCGCTGCCTCCAGTGTCTCCGCCAAGGGCGAGAAGGACACGGAAGGACGCGCATAGCGAGCGCAGCGTCGCTCTGTCTCTCTCGCACTCATGGGGCGGCCGGGCGGCCCGGGGGGAGTGTGAGAGAGACAGAAGGGGCGCAGAAAGGACGATTGCTCGCTCAGCTGCATGCCCTGCATTATTCCGTGAAGTACTTGCGACACATGTGCGCACCACGTGGACGTGGAACTGCCGCACTTGCCCCCCTAGCCCCGCCTCGCCCCGCCTTACCGCCTTCGCGCCTCAAGTCAACAATGAATGGCATGGCATGTCGGCATGTCAGGTTGGTGCGTGGGGCGGGGCCCTGGCGGGGCGGAGCAGGGGGCGCGGAGGGAGGCAGGGGGTTGCTGGCTGGCTGCGAAGCACGTTTCATCCGGATTAGACAGTTTTATGACAGCCCCGACATGTTTCAGTTCGGTTTATACAGGCTGACCCTTGGCTGGAGCTGCGTTGACGCACGTTGCACACGCACACACGGGCGTGCGCGGCTGAGCTCATTATTGGATCCACTTCGCCTGCATGCAACACGCCGAACAAGTCCAAAAGCCGTCCGCGGGGTTCGCGGGGTTCGCGGGGTCAGCTGAGCGATCGGAAGAGTCGGTGCGTCGCTGTCTCTGTCGCACTCGTGGGGCTCTCCGTAAGGGTGCGAGAGAGACAGCGACAAACCGATCTCCTGGATCACTCGGCTGTCGCGCTGTCGCCGTGGCTCCTCTCGCTGGCCTCCGCCCCGAGGTGCACCGAGGGCCCCAGCGCCTCGCGGGGGCTGCAGTGGCTGCAGTGCGCCGCGCCGCCGTGGCGCCCCGAGCCGCAGACTGTCTCTGTCTCTCTCATTCTCGTGGGGCGTCCCGGATAGGTGTGAGAGAGAAAGAGCGACGTCTATCGGAATCAGATTGCCCATCAAGATGTCGGCCTTTCCCCAGTGCTCCCGGGGCACCCAGGGGCACCCTGCATGGCGGGCTGTGGCGCGCGCTGCTTGGCGCTGCTCGGCTGCGCGGCTGCCTGGTCAACCACCTCGGCCTGCCTCGGCCCCTCTGTTCTGTTCACACCCCGCGACGACGCCCCGCCGCCCCGCCGCGACCGGTATCTACCGCAGTGGCGAGTGGCGAGGTGGGCGTCAACGCGCGCGAGGGGGAGGCCATTGGAGGAAGCTCAGCCCGTTACACTGTACGTACCCCCCTCCCGGCCGCGGCCCGATTCAGGTGCCCCTACTTGCTAATTACGGCACAGGTGTGATCCGAGTCACACTCCCGCAGGTGTGCCCGTTGCGGCGGCTTTCGACGCGAAGCGAAGCCCCTCCGCGCCCCGACGTGTCCCTCTGTGACGGCGCCTAGCATGCCTTGCACGGCACCACGTCAGTCACACTCGTTTGCCTTATCTGGAGTGGAGTGACCCGTTTTCGTATCCGGGTAATCGGTTGGTAGTCCTAGCAACTTGGCGCAATCGAGCGAAATAGGGAAGCGTCGAGATTTGAACCCACGCCGACGCCGTGGCCCGAGGCCGCCCAATGGTGGCCCCCGAAGGCACGCGGTGCGCCGAAGTTTGAACCCGCGTCGACGCCGTGGCCTAAGGCCCTTGACGATGGCCCCCGAAGGCACGGGACGCGCCGGGATTTGAACCCGTGTCGACGCCGTGCCCCGAGGCACCCCGACGGTGGCTTCCGACGCGGCGCTCGCGGAGGTTCCGCGGTTGGGGAAATAAAACGGAAGCGCGGGACGGCCGCCATGCACTTGATCGGCCGCCACGGGGAAGCCCTCCAGATCAAGTGGCCCTTGCACAACTTGCGCGACGCGTTATCTTTGTCGTTAAGGAAGGACACCTGCGCATTTACGCCCCCGCCCGCCCGCGTATCCTCTCGCACCTCCACCCGCACGCCGACAGACTCATTCAGAGAATCATCCTCTGCGACGCTCTGCCTCTCTCGAATCCGACGCCTCACGAGTGCGAGAAGAGCAACGAAATCGACTCTCGGAATCGGCCTGCTGTCGCCGTGGCCAGGCCACGGCCAGGCTGTGGCCGCCGCGTCTATCTCGCCGTCAGCCCGGACGCGGCACGCGGCACGCGGCGCGGCCGGCCGCAGGGAAGTACCTCCTTGAGGCGGACCAAGGCACTAATCACCGCGACACTCGAAAAGGAATCGTGACAATCGAGGTGGCGAAGTGACGCGGCAAATCCACTATTTACAGTGTCCACGTCGGCTGAGTAATCAGAAAACTCATCCCTGCTCGCGATCACGCCTGCGGCCTGCATGGGACGAAGCGCCGCGGAGCGCGCAGCGCGCACGGCAACACAAACAAACAAACAAACCGCCAAACAACCTCCAGAGTACTCACCGGCCATGGCTAGATCGACGGGGTGCTCCTGGTGGTGAACTAGGGCCTCCATGACGTCGGTGTCCAAGAGTCCTCCAGCGAATGAAGACAACGGGGAACGGAGGTGCTCAACGCAGTGACGGTCGCCACCTGGTCACCCCTGTCGTCGTGACAGTCACACCTGCGAAGTGAGAGCGGCGAAGTGGCGAAGCGGCGAAGCGTCGTCTCCTCTCGCGTGGCGCGGCGTGGCGTGGCGGCGGTGGCGCGGTTCGGTTCGGTCCGTGTTGGTTGGGCGGCGGCAAGCGACTGGGGCGGGGTGGGGACGTGGGGACTTGCTCTGTGGACTGGGCGGCGGAGCGATGCGGCGGCGGCCAGCCGAAACTTGCGCGGCGGGGCGGGCCGGGGCTCGGCTCGGCAGTCCAGGGCGAAGACGAAGTGCAAGGCGTGGAGGGGTGGGCCGTGCAATCACTGCATCACTGCAATCTGCACGCAGGATGCAGCTGATTCTTTGACGCGCCAAATGAGAAAATGAAACAGTGGGATGATGCCACCTTTGCACTTGCAAACGCGGTTGTCGTTACGCACTTCTGGACACCTTTTGACCCCTCATGTGCCGCGGTGATACGCTGTCCCAGGCCCCTCCCACCCCTCACCCAACCTTAGAGGGTAACGTTACGATCAATTTCTTACTTGAACGCGGCTTTTGCCTTCATTTATTATTCATTCTTCTGAAATGTGCTCTCATATTCAATGTGTTTAGCGCTACGTTACGCTGTCTCCACCCCCCGCCCCTCTCCCCATGTGCCACAACGTAATTAATGGACGGCCCCTAACAGTTCCGGGGCACGCTCGCAGAGAGGAGCGTAAGAGCGTTGCAAAATAATGCAAAATAAATTTGTAACCGTCCGCGGCACTGCAGCTTCTCTCTCTCTCTCTCTCTCTCTCTCTCTCTCTCTCTCTCTCTCTCTCTTCTCTCTCTCTCTCTCTCTCTCACTCTCTCTCTCTCTCTCTCTCTCTCTCTCTCTCTCTCTCTCTCTCTCTCTCTCTCTCTCTCTCTCTCTCTCACTCTCTCTCGTCGTGGCGTCTGCAGAGATGCGCTTGGCCAAGATACCGCAGACGCTCTTCGAGATTAGGCTAATGCTTTCGAGGGTCGATCAAGTACGATGAGGTGGCCCGCACTGGATTGTGACCGGATTGCGTGTCCGCGCCGCACCACACTGTACAGTGCAGCAGCCAGGCAGCCGTATGCCGGTGCAGGCCCTCTAGCCAGTGCGGACGCACCTAGCGCTAGACACGCCCTCGCCACAGGCTTGCCACGCCCGTGGCCCGCGGCGGCTCCACATTTTTCAAGCGAGCGAAAAATGTATAGGTATCCGGAGACGTGGACTTGGTGGACAAAGGCGCAGACGCGGTACCCAAGCCCATTAGGTATACTGTACCAATGAGCGCGGCGACCGGCCAGGCTCCATCGCTCGGTCTCTCTCTCGCACCACACCACTGCGGAGCGACCCGCGAGTGCGAGAGAGACAGAGCAAGACAGAGCTGGGAAAGCACTCTTCGTCACTAACTGTACGTATCGTGTGGAAAGTACTGATGCCGTACTGATGGCTCGCCGCCATAGGTCCGGTGTCACCCTCCGCGATTCTCTACCCGCGCAGTGTTTATCGGTGCCTTCGGGGAAGCCCCGCCCCGCCCCGCCCCACCCCGCCCCGCCCCGCCCCACCCCGCCCCGCCGACGGCTCGGCCCTTTTACCAGAGTCCGGGATGGCCACTGCTTAGCTCTATTTAGTTAAGCTCACGCCGTCGCGAGGGAGCGAGAGCGAGGGGGCGAGGGCGTGAGAGCGTGGATCTGGGCGGAGTGGGGGGAGTCTTTATACTTCCAAAAGTGAGGTTATGATCCCATAGCGGCAAAAATTTGAGTCGCAAAAGACTCTCTGCATGCTCTCTGTAGTTTTAGTCTACCTTAAGGTTGCTGTGAGCAGTATTCTGACGTTCCAGCATTAGAATATAACCTCACTTTTGCATCCCTCGGCCCACGCTCTCACGCCCTCGCCCCCTCGCTCTCGCCCCCTCGCGACGGCGTGAGCTTAACTAAATAGAGCTCTTTACCTCTGCGACTTCTTTCTTTCTTATTTCGGCGTTTGCCTGCGGCGCTGAGGCCAAAGGGCCAAAGGCTGACGCTGCCGTCCTGGGCGCACAAGTAGGCATTCCGTAATCGTTTCCGCGAGGCACACGCGCGACGTGCGGAGCCCAAAACAAGGCGCAATTTTGTCGGTGCAAAAAAGGAGAAAGAGAAAGGAGAAATAAGAGCAAATGGCCGCGAGCCGGCAGGCGATAACCCGCCTGACCCACCTCTCCTCTCTGTAAAACAAAGTCACCACCAGTGCAGCTGATTTGACTCCATCCGGTCTGAGAGATCGAAACCGATTTGAATCATCGGTGTGGCGGGGGAGGGGAAGGGGACAGGGGTGCACCACAAACACGTTTACAGCTCACTCCTTACACAGATGCGTATCTCTGTTGTGTTACGCCCTGACTAGCCCTGACGCCTGGTGGCGGGAAAACCCGGCCAGCAGCTCCCTTAGGGTCGTTTTCGCCGCTCTGTCTCTCTCGCACCTGTGCGCGACGCGGCGCGACGCCTCAGGAGTGCGAGAGAGACAGAGCGACGGACAGCCTGCAGCGCCGCCGCGGCTCGAACGCCGATAAGCAGAAAGTGCGTGCAGTTTTCCGCGTCAGTGCAGCCTGCACTGCAAGCCTGCAGCCAGCGAGACCGGGAGAAGGGGAGGGGGAGGGGAGGTTATAATTGTCCACCAGCAAAATGAAAACACACAAGACACGAGAGGTCCGGCCGGGGTCCGTGCCCGCTGCCCCTCTGTTCTCCGGGAGTCCCGTTCACTGCATGTGTCGCGGCCTGTCGCGGGGTGGACAACGGACTGACAACGGCAATGCACGGCAATGCACGGCCAGGGACATGTGCGAGGGGCGGCGGATCAAAGACACGTCCTTCGCCGGAACGAATGCGGATGAGCAGAGAGTGACTCGCATACAGGGCGGCCAGCGACCCACTTGTTTCGAAGCAACAACAACAAAAACAACAGCAGCAACAGCGTCGTGGTGCATTTGGCGCGCCCTTCGCGCTTTTGCGCTTTGGCGAGGCGATGCCGCGGCGTGTCACGCCGTCACCTCGCCGTCACCTCGCCGTCGCCTCGCCGTCACCTCACCGTCCACCTCGCAGTCGCCTCACCGTCGCCACGCCGTCGCCTCGCCGTCGCCTCGCCATCCACCTCGCCGTCGCCTCGCCGTCACCTCGCCGTCCACCTCGCCGTCCACCTCGCCGTCACCTCGCCGTCACCTCGCCGTCACCTCGCCGTCACCTCGCCGTCACCTCACCGTCCACCTCGCCGTCGCCGTCGCCTTGCCGTCCACCTCGCCGTCGCCTCGCCGTCACCTCGCCGTCCACCTCGCCGTCACCTCGCCGTCCACCTCGCCGTCACCTCGCCGTCACCTCGCCGTCACCTCACCGTCCACCTCGCCGTCGCCTCGCCGTCCACCTTGCCGTCCACCTCGCCCTCGCCGTCGCCTTGCCGTCCACCTCGTCGTCGCCTCGCCGTCACCTCGCCGTCCACCTCGCCGTCGCCTCGCCGTCACCTCCCCGTCACGCTGTGACCTTCCCGTCACGCCGTCACCTTGCTGTCACGCCGCCTCGCCGCCACGCCGCCACGCCGCCACGCCGCCACGCCGCCACGCCGCCACGCCGCCGCCTCGCTGTCGTTGTCACATCATGTTCCCGCGTCCGGTCCGGTCGCCTCGGCCGATTTTGCCTTGGCGCATTTTATTTGGAAGTTGAAAATCCGCGTCGACTTCCTCGCCTGCCGTGCGCTTCCTGCCCTCCTGCTGCTTGGCGCCACCTTGCGGCTCTTGGGGGTGGCGCCTGTGCCGCCCCCCTCCCGCCCGCCCCCGCCCCTGCCGCGCCGCGCCCATGCAGTGGCGCCACACACGCCACGCCTAGCCACACCCAGCCACATCCAGCCACATCCAGCCACCCAGTAGCGCAGGTCGGGGCTTTTGAGCAAACATGAGGGACGACGTGTTTATGAACTCCTTGCTGCCGTGCGCCTGTTTTATTTGCAAAACAGTGTCTAGTCAGTTTAGGACCGGGCGCTTCTTTTTCTCATGCGTGCCATTCACGAACTGAAAGAAAAAGAAAGTCCATAGTTTTTATCCAACTGAAAACAGTGAATCAATGGCACGGAGTTGTCCGTCGGGTTTCAGGCAAAGGGGGCAGTACGTAGTGAGACATGGAGTCCTAGAGGGTCTAGGGCTCTAGTGAGACACTAGCACGGTAAAAACGCGTCCTGGAAAAACCAGCAAGGGGCCCGTTTGCAGGGCGGTCCTGGAGGAAGTGGCAAAACTTCCAGGACCGTCCTGGAACATGGTGGGATGGTGAACATTTGAAATGCTGGTATTTGAACAGCAAACTGTGCAAATGTTGGAGACGTAGGATCGCATTTGCACAGTGCGGTGTTCGAATACCAGCATCTCAATTTCTTTTTAGACTTGTTGTCTTTTGGGGAACGGTTCGAGGCCATCAGAGCGGAGCCGTGTACCAGAACAGTCCCACACGTCGGAGGTTCAACTCCTAACAAGTTTTAACATTTCATTTTACTGCCTCACCCAGTGTGGTTCAAACCAATTCAAACCCGTGACTTCAGCCAGCGTCCAGCATGTGCCGTGGTGGTCCAGGGAGTAGAGGCGCCGCTTCGCTGCGCTGTGCTGGGGTCAGTAGTTCGACTCCCCAAACTTCTTGCGAAATTTTGACCGGGTCGGTCCATTCCTGTCGCGCCAACAACCCACCTCACGCCGCTCCACTCGTCATGGGCCGTGGTGGCCGAGCGGCCAAAGGCGTACGATCCCGGCAGTGGGGTCCTGGGATCGGAGCCTATCATTTCATTACATTTTTCGACTGGCTTCCTCCCACTGCCACTCAAACCCATCGTCCAACACGCAGTCAGACGTACAGCTTGATAGCGTAGTGGTCAGAGTCACATTCACCTGGCCAACTGCGCGGGGTTTCTAAAAGGCAATCCGCTTCGGCGGGTCGCGGTCGAGGGCTACCTGCAATGCTAACCAATGCGGCAGATGCCATAAACCGCGAGGACTCAGGGCTCTTCGTTTTCTGGTCAGAGTAGACCTTGGACGAGCGGGGCACTATTTTTCAAGGTCCGCGGGGTTGGCCACCCGTTTCCAGGACCGTTCTGGTCCAAAGCGTTCGTTTCTTTTAGGACAGTCCTGGAAACGGGAGGCCGGTTCATAAAAACGCACCATGTTCCAGGACGGTCCTGGAAGTTTTGCCATTTCCTCCAGGACCGTCATGGAAACGGGCGGAAACGGGCCCTCCGTACAACCTTGGAGCCTTTCTGTCCTGGTTTTTCCAGGACGCGTTTTTACCGTGAGCTGGCCAGGCCAGCCTGTCGAAACGGCGACACTTTGGGAAATCCTAGAAGAACAGGACTTGAACTCCACTCCGATTCCCTCCGGTTTCTGAAGTGCTCTCGGTGCAAATTTTTTTTCAAAAATTGTCAAGGCGTGAAACGTGTGGGAAGCAGATTTCTCTGGGTGCTGCGGTATGCCCCGTCCTCTAGCGGCATTGCTTTCAAGTTCTTTGTAGTGCGCCCGAAGAGTCGAGCGTAGGCAACCCGCTCGTCAGGCAAATCGGTTGTTTGCAGGGTAGAAACCAGAGAGTCCAGACAAAATCGATTTATTTCGAAGAAAATTAAATACAAAATATCCGCGATGGGTCTCGTGAGGAAACCTCAACAAAGAGAACAATTTCATCTATTTTCAGCTACATAACAGATTGTCAAATCCACCAAACGTCTAAAGAATAATCGAACTGCGGATGTTTTGTTTTTAAAAATATGTCTACAACAAGAATTGAAATTTTTGGATTAGTTCCATGGGTGCCAATTTTAATAATTCTACAAAATCAATAACACTTATGACACATGTTAAGCCTGGAGGTATTGTAGCGCGCGGGAGAGAAAAGATGTTCAGCAAAATCTACGCTTAGTAACCTGTCGGGATTCAACATTCAAAAAGTTAGGTCTAACAACAAATTCGTATTGATCTGAAATGTATTCAATGCTCTACAAATGACACATAAAACCACAAAAAGCTTTATGGAACCTCGAAGAGTGCCGTATTTACTACACAGAACGCTGCTTATGTTTGATTATTGAAAAATGTCTGCAGATTTTAATAGTGCGGAAACCCACACCTTCAACAATACGGAAGAATGAAAAATACATTGAACACTCACTCAGTATATGTCATTTTACCCATGCAGTCTTAAATACAGAGTATAAGCGTATCCATAAGTTATTCATACTCACAATTTCTAAAAAACCAAAGAGCTCCAAATTGATTTTATTGCGAATTGCGGGGTCTTAACCCCCACTACCGCAACGGGATTTTACAGTATGCCTCAAGTTTAATTTTAACAGAAAGAACAAAACCGCAAAGTGTGCATTTTTATGGCTTCTAAAAGCATTTCGAAGACACATCTGAGCACAACGTAAATGAAAGATTGTTCCGCGACAAAGTCACGTTTTTGAGAACAGTGTACTCTCGGCTTAGGCAACAGCCTTGGTTATCGCTACTAGAAAGAATAATCCACTCTCAATCATTTTTTTTTGTTTCTGAAGAAAAAATAAATAAATCCATTTTAACTTATTTCTACCAATTCGACAACAGAAGGCGGGAGACGCAAAGGGGATGCTATTTATAACTCGCCACATGTCATGGACTTACGTGCCAAACACGCGCGAAATTGTGTAACAACCAACAAACAGCACGAAGGGGAAAAGTATAGAAAAATACAATTTAGGCTTTAGGAAGTACATCCTTTACGCTGCATTTCATGCACGAAAGAGAATAACAACACATTTCTACACGTTACTCTTAAGTTAAATCTCAACAGCGCAAGTCAACTCAGTCGAAAACCAATGGAATATACACTGTTTCCAACTTTCTAAAACGTTTATTATGTCAAAGCGTCGGAACGACTTTTCTATAAAAATGTCGTGTTTTTTAAGCACTTTTTTTTTAAAAAAAGGAAGAGAAATAAGAGTGTCGACTAAATTGTAATTTGGAAACTTGTTTCTTAGAATTATGTATCTAAAGAAGTTCAGACTGAGACTTGCGTTGGTGATATGCATTATGAAGAGACTCGCGGTTGAAGAAAGGGAGACCAAAGAGGGGAGATAGAGGAAAAGGGAAACTATGATAGGTAATAGAAAAGTAAGATAAGTTACGCACAGCCATGGAAGAACTTCGATAACTAACCTACGTCGGGAATGGTTTTTTCATGATTGTACAGAGCTGGGTGTGAAATCAAGAGATAGAGCGATTCAACGAATACAGCGACAAAGACTAGGTACCACACCAAAAATTGCTCCAATGCTCCTTGACCCCACTGGTCAAACGAATTCTTCGACTCAAACTCTGTCCGAGACATTGCCACCTCGACAAAAACCAAGTACGCCTTGTCTTAGTTAGTCAAATAAAATAATCTCTTTCTCAAAGGGATTTCAGAATTGAACCCTGTTACAGCGAGATACAATAACAAGATATTTTAAACATGATAAAAAGAAGTTTTGAGTAGGTAGTGTATCGCCCGCGATACACTACGAAACAAGCACGACACGCGCTGCCGGGACAAGAGATAGAAAAAGGGTCCAAGCAACACCGCCACGTTACGTATATCAAGGTGAAATGGGAGACCACCTGAAATGTTTTATTAAAAAAACAAAAAACAAAAACTTTGTTTACAAGTTAATGATTGTGGATCGCTAGACAAAAGGATATCCACACCCTAAAATTCAACAACAAGAAGTATCAGTGAGCCTATGTACAATATACAACTAACAACGACTTTGTGATCCAAAGCATTACAGTTATCCTTGATATGAACGGCGGGGTACTGATGGATATATAAAAAAGAGTGCAACTGTCTAGACATCGCTAGGGCCACAAATCCACCAGCCTTCGTACTTGAGTGCCACACTCCCTCTCTCTCGGTTTCAAAATACATACAGGTACTGGTATATCTATCACACGCAGCTCAACTAGACGACTTTAATTGTTACTGCAGCGACGTCGCTCTTGATTCCAACGACTGGTGGAAGGGCGCGAGCAACCATTGTCCCTGGACGCAGCCAAGTCAAACAGAACAAGCGTCTTCAGCAGGAAATTATTTCATCACTGTTTAAGATAAAACTACTTAACGATTGTCTCAGCTCCATAGCAGCTTCTCGGTACAAAGTTTTAACTATGCGGCAATGAATTTTGACTGCAATCGTTGGGTTCATGACTAGTTGCCCTTTGGCTGCAAGTCCATGCCACTGTCGGGACGTGGCGCTGAGTTTGTCTCCCTTTACCGGTCGTGCGACGTGGAGGGGAACAGCCTGTGGTGGCTGGAGGTGACACTGACGATGGCCGCGGTGTTGGCGGCGCTGAGTTTGTCTCCCTTTACCGGTCGTGCGACGTGGAGGGGAACAGCCTGTGGTGGCTGGAGGTGACACTGACGATGGCCGCGGTGTTGGCGGCGCTGAGTTTGTCTCCCTTTACCGGTCGTGCGACGTGGAGGGGAACAGCCTGTGGTGGCTGGAGGTGACACTGACGATGGCCGCGGTGTTGGCGGCGCTGAGTTTGTCTCCCTTTACCGGTCGTGCGACGTGGAGGGGAACAGCCTGTGGTGGCTGGAGGTGACACTGACGATGGCCGCGGTGTTGGCGGCGCTGAGTTTGTCTCCCTTTACCGGTCGTGCGACGTGGAGGGGAACAGCCTGTGGTGGCTGGAGGTGACACTGACGATGGCCGCGGTGTTGGCGGCGCTGAGTTTGTCTCCCTTTACCGGTCGTGCGACGTGGAGGGGAACAGCCTGTGGTGGCTGGAGGTGACACTGACGATGGCCGCGGTGTTGGCGGCGCTGAGTTTGTCTCCCTTTACCGGTCGTGCGACGTGGAGGGGAACAGCCTGTGGTGGCTGGAGGTGACACTGACGATGGCCGCGGTGTTGGCGGCGCTGAGTTTGTCTCCCTTTACCGGTCGTGCGACGTGGAGGGGAACAGCCTGTGGTGGCTGGAGGTGACACTGACGATGGCCGCGGTGTTGGCGGCGCTGAGTTTGTCTCCCTTTACCGGTCGTGCGACGTGGAGGGGAACAGCCTGTGGTGGCTGGAGGTGACACTGACGATGGCCGCGGTGTTGGCGGCGCTGAGTTTGTCTCCCTTTACCGGTCGTGCGACGTGGAGGGGAACAGCCTGTGGTGGCTGGAGGTGACACTGACGATGGCCGCGGTGTTGGCGGCGCTGAGTTTGTCTCCCTTTACCGGTCGTGCGACGTGGAGGGGAACAGCCTGTGGTGGCTGGAGGTGACACTGACGATGGCCGCGGTGTTGGCGGCGCTGAGTTTGTCTCCCTTTACCGGTCGTGCGACGTGGAGGGGAACAGCCTGTGGTGGCTGGAGGTGACACTGACGATGGCCGCGGTGTTGGCGGCGCTGAGTTTGTCTCCCTTTACCGGTCGTGCGACGTGGAGGGGAACAGCCTGTGGTGGCTGGAGGTGACACTGACGATGGCCGCGGTGTTGGCGGCGCTGAGTTTGTCTCCCTTTACCGGTCGTGCGACGTGGAGGGGAACAGCCTGTGGTGGCTGGAGGTGACACTGACGATGGCCGCGGTGTTGGCGGCGCTGAGTTTGTCTCCCTTTACCGGTCGTGCGACGTGGAGGGGAACAGCCTGTGGTGGCTGGAGGTGACACTGACGATGGCCGCGGTGTTGGCGGCGCTGAGTTTGTCTCCCTTTACCGGTCGTGCGACGTGGAGGGGAACAGCCTGTGGTGGCTGGAGGTGACACTGACGATGGCCGCGGTGTTGGCGGCGCTGAGTCGCGAGGCGCGCGGTTCGATCTCCAACGACAGCCGGTACATCTCCTCCTCGTCCAGAACGAGCAGGGGGTCCTGCAGGTAGTTGGTGACCTTGGACACGTGCTCGATCTTGTACGGCACCTGCTGAAAGTTGCGCACCTCCCGGATCACGTGCGCGATCTGCAACAACACGAGGAAAGAGTCGTGGAGGCCGAGCAGTCAAGCGGTAACCGCGCACAGTGGGCCAGAAGACCGACTCAGGTGGCCCAAACTCTAGCCGTGTTTTGAGCTCCAGAGTCGCTAAATTAGACTCGAACCGAACGTGTGGCCCCACCAATGAGTTCCTCGTTTGGAGAGCAATCCATTGGTGGGGTCACACGCTCGGTTCGAGTCCAATTTAGCGACTCTTGAGCTCAAAAGGCGTCTAGAATTTTGACCGCCCTCACCGGTCTTCTGGCCCACTGTGCAGCGCCGATCTTCGTACGTACCATTCTCATCTTGGAGAAGTTGAGCAGCTTGTCGTGGGAGAAGTTGGGCGTGCTCTCCTCGATGAAGGACAAGTCGGTGAGGTACATGCCCAGGTAGGGGATGCAGGGCGGGTCGCAGCGGTGCAGCGCCTCGCGCAGGTTGCGGAACCGCCCGTCCGACGACACGATCACCTGCAGCTTGTCGATCGTCTGCTTCGTCTGCACAAACCACACAACGTTTCACACCTCTTCGAGCCAAAAATCGACTCAAGTTCGCTCCTTCTTTTAGCGCACACGCATACCGTTTTGGACACCTTCTCCCAGGTCTTCTTGAGGCGGAAGACGACGTTGTTGTTGAAGGCGGCGCAGATCTGCAGCACGCCGTTGAAGTTGTGCAGGCACCGCGCGATGTCGGCCACGGCGGCCCACTTCTCGATGGCGGCCACGCGCGCCGAGATGTTGGGCCGGCGCACGATCTCGCTCACCACCAGCGCGGACATCTGCGGGGGCGCGGCGGGACGCGGTCACTCTCAGGCAAAGCTCGTCAGAGTACCAAGTTTGTTGTTGTTGTTTTTAGCATGCGGGCGCACGGGGCTCTCTTACCTGGTTGAACCGCTTCGTCATGGCCTCGATGCGCGGCGCCTTGACGTTCTTGTCCGTCTTGATCCAGGCCTGGCCCAGGAACTCCCTGCAAGGCGGAGTACTCGGTGAGAGCGTGCAACGCGTGCAAACCTTGTTTCCCAGGCTAAAGGCCTAAAGGGCACTCACTCGCTGCAGATGGACACGAAGATCTGGTGGTCCAAGTACGTCATCTGCTCCGCGATCTCGAGCGCCGACAGCGACTCGATGTTCTCCTTGCTCGACGACTGCGGAGTCCGGAGGCAGGTTTCAAGTTCGTGAGTGAGACGGCGAACACTAAGCCAAATAATTTGACTCGAAACAGAACGGATCCTTACCGTGGGCGGCGAGAGCAGCGCGGCCAGGTCCACCTTGGAGTTCTCGGCCTCCTCCTTGGTGATGAGGCGCAGCAGCTGCGACGCCGCCTTGTACTCGGCGGGCAGCAGGCTGGGGCTGCACATGATGTCCTCCAGGAACTGGATCGTCAGGCTCTTGAGCTTCTGGTCCTGGTCGAAGTCCTGCGAGTGCTTGGACACCCAGTGGCGCAGCACGTTGAGGACGCGCATGGTGGCGGCGGTGGACAGCACGGACTCCTTCCTGCGCCGCTGCTCCTTGCAGGAGCCGGGCGCCGAGCCCAGCCCCACCATGCCCGACGCGGACGAGCACGACGCCCTGCTCATGGCGCTCATGGCGGGGCTCAGGTCGCGTGGGTTGCTGGACGCCGACGTGGCGATGGCGAAGGCCGCCGCCGCCGTGGACGTGCTGCTCCTGCGCACCCCGAAGCACCCCGTCAACCTCCGCGCGACAACGACTAGACAGCCAATGACCGCACCGCCAGCCCACGCCGCGGCCGCCCAGTGGGTAGGCCACCCAACGGGCAGACCGGGAGGGGAAGCGACGCACCCTGCGCACCCCTGCCACCCACTGGCGCCCGGCAGGTAGGCCACCCAAGTGGCACCCCGCATCCCTGCCGCGTGCCACGCCGCCACCGAGCCGCCCGACAGGTAGGCAAACCAAATGGCAGCCGAAGCCGGCGGGCCGGCCCAAGCGCTGGGCGCGCACCCCTGCAGCCGCATGGCAGATGGGTTGCCTGCCTGCCGGGCGCTACACTGGTAGAACTGAAGCGTACTTCTACGCCTTTCTTCAAGCATAGTAGCACTACGCTCGGCATCAAGCATAGTTCTCCATTACTCCCCTCTCCCGCCTATCTAAATGCATGGGAAAATTTCTTCTGTACGCTTGACGTCAAGCGTAGTTGTATGCTTGAATGAAGCATACAACTACGCTTCAGTTTTACCAGTGTAGCGTCGAGCACTAACGCAGAGACATTAAATTGCTTTCGCCGCTCTATAGAGGGGAAATGTGTAATTAGACGAGGCAGTTTTGTTATTTAACTAAAGTTACAGAGACTATTTACTCTCGTACTGGAGATTCAAGATGGAACAGTTTATTTAAACCATTACGGACAGTTGAAAAGGCGTCTATTTTGCAGGGTTACTAAAGGAATAAGACAGTCAGGATCATCCAGGTTAACTGTTTAAATGCAATGACCGAAACTAGATAAAACAAACTATTTTCTCTAACGGAACATTGATCAGCCTGCTAGGACTGCGTGCGGGACGGCAACATGACGTGCAAAAAAATTAAAATAAAAACCAACGCGTGATTCTGTGTTTATGATCCGACGCGAGGTTTATTTGTGCGAGGGAAAAAGGTGAGAATTCAAAAGGTACAGCCAAAGTAATTAACGAATAAATTGTGTATTATTGAGGAAACAAACACAAACATGTTGTTTAAAGCGGCGTCGTTTGAGTGGCTGCACTGCACCCTGGAAGGAATCAAAATGGTTCAACATGCTGCTGGCCCTGCAGGGCGTGCAGGCGTGCAGGCGTGCACTCCACATCTGAAACGAAAGCGATGCAGGAGACACGACCTTGCCACGGCCTTGACTGCCTTGCCGGCCTTGGTGGAGGAGGCTGGCCAGCGTGGAGCCATTGAGTTCGGTACAGACGGATGCAGCGTGTTTGACGTTGTGTGGTTCACGCAGAACACTTGTTCGTGAAAAAAAAAAAATGTATAAAAAAAGCGTTCTACTGAGTGGTAATCTATTTGAAAGTTGGCAATGCAGTGCTTCCGTGTGTACGGGTAAGGGTACATTCCCAGGGCACCATGCCTAGGTTCGATTCTAAGGAGAGGGTTGAATAATGGTGAGTTTGTGGGGACCCTCACAAGGGTAGTCGCTTCGCTGTTAAAAAAAGGGTGAAATGTCTAAGAACTACATTTGCATACAAATACGTTTTAAAATCAATCTGTTTGAAAATAAATTTATTCCACTGCTCTACAGTAAGAAATCTTACATGAATTTGCGAAGTTTTTCTTTGCGAGGGCCACCACTAGCTCATCTAAGAAAAGCATTGCGTTAAGTGGATCGTTCAGGGAGGCTGTTTTACTCACCAAAAATCAGGCTCGATGCTGTCCCACCACAACCCACCACACAGACAACACAGGGTCACAACAGTCACTCTCACTCAAACAGTCAGGGAGCCGCCCAACGGTGAAACTCAAACTCTTTTCCAAAAATAATTTTGAAATTATTTTTGAGTTATGTTCCACGCGCGAGCGGCTCAAATATAAAAATACACAAAAGCTAAAAGATTTCAAACGATAGGTATAATAGATGAAAGTATTGCGAAAAGTAACGATAGATTTCACACGTAAGGGACCTGCTCGATTGCAAATCGATGAGGCCAGGGTTTATAAGTACTTGAAAAGAAGAGACACACCACAACATCAAGAATGATGCATGCAATTTAGAGAAATGAGAAATGGAAGTCGAAAGCTGCCGGAGGATTGGTTTGAGACCGTGCCTGTTTGATCAGGCAGGCGGAAGCATCGCAAATGAGCACTTGAGGCGAACAACCGTCTCGCTGAGGTAGAGAGCAGTGTCTATCCTCTGCAGAGGACGTGCTCAACGTGGCCGCGGAGCCCACTCCGGGCCAACAAGACAACAATTCCACTTTCTGCGAAATGGACAGTGGACGCCTCAGTCCACTCGAGGGAAGTCGAACAAGCGAGTCTTCCGGGGCCTCTAGCATGAGATGAAATGAACACACGTCTGCATGCACACAGCAGCATTTGACGCAAAGCATGTTTCTCGCCACCCGAATTTATGGCAGCCTTCCATCGAGGAGGCGCTACAGCGCTTACCAGGCCAGCGCCTGCCGGAGCCTAGCTGGAGCCTAGCGGGAGCCTAGCGGGAGCTAGTCTTTCGGGGTGGAGGGGGCGGAGTTGAGACCAACCTGCGGTGCGACTGCCTGGAGGACGTGATGACCACCCCCGCCTTGCTGGACACCTGCGGCAGGTCATGCTGGATGCTGGGCCTGCTGTGGATGGAGATGGTGGAGTCCTGGGTCAGCCGCCTGCCGCCGCTGTAGTAGCTCTGTGAGGCAGGGAAGGGGTTGAAACGGGGCGAAACCAGGCACGTCGCAAACACGCTCCGCGCCGCGCTGGCGGCGCTCTCGCGGACACTGGGGGCACTAACCAGGGCAGACGAGGCGATGGACGCGGAGCGCGCGCTCGAGGACCTCGGCGTGTCCTGGCAGTCCTCGGACTGCCACGGGTCCGTGGTGATGCTGTCCCGCTTCCAGGAGCTGCCGTAGTTGCTGCCGCCACCACCGCCGCCGCCGCAGTCCGAGCCCTTCCTCTTGGGCTGCTGGAAATAGTCCAAGGTTACTCGCAGGCCTCTTGGAGGGACTCCCTGGCTTCCGGGTCCTCACCTGGCTGCGGGGCGAGCGTCGTTCGCTGGAGGACAGGCGGCGGTCGCAGGAGGAGGGCCGGCGCTCGGCCGAGCTGGGGCGGCGCGACGTCGTGGAGGTGTTGTCGGCCGACGGGCGGCGCTCGCTGTACGACAGGCGGCGCTCCATGCGGCCCGACGCGCTCGTCATGATGATGGACGGCCGGCGCTCGCTGGCCGACGGGCGTCTGTCGCCCAAGCGGCCGCTGCGGCAGCGGAGAGGGGGGACCCTAGGTCAGCAAGCAAGCCACGCTAACACACCCACACCAACACAACGCGTCCACAAAGCAGTGACAAGGGCAGGGTACATCTAGAGGGCCGTGAGGCCGTGAGGCGCATTCAAGGGGCGTTTCGTGTATTTGCACGGTGGATGAGGATCATGGGGGTCATGAGGTTCAGCAGAGGTGGCGTTCCGGACTAGCTAGAGAATCAATCATGCGGGTAGGCAGGACTATCACGAGGTACCGGGTGCGGATGGGGGGCTGGGTGTCCTTTTTCAATTTGTTCCTCCGGAGCCAAATTTTTTACGTAAAGCTTTCGAGGAGAGCTCTCAAAATCCTTGCCCAAAATCACGCAATTTTCTGTACAACACACGGAACCTTGTGCATCTGCAGACTTATGCAGGTTTTTCGATTGCACTCATCTTATCAATGACCGCCTGGCACTTGCCTTCCTCGCTGACCCATGACTTCCTTATCGTGTCACGGTCGCGGCCGGCCGGTTTACTTGTATACAGCAGTTGCTTTTAAAAGTAACCTATTTTACGATGTGACCTCTTGGATCAAAAACAAACTTATTTGCACAGCAGCTGCACTTATGGCAGACTCGCTGGCACCCACAAGAGGAAACAACAAAATGCTTGAGGTAGTTTTTTTGTTTCAATTTGAAGCTGCATACAGAATTATGAGTGGCATAAAGGGCCAATGAAATAAAATAAAAATATATGATTGCATGTGCAGAACACCCTATAAAGTCCCGCCTGACACCGCGTCCCCGAACTAAGGGAAAAGCAATACCCGGAATAACTTCATACAAAAAAATAGGATAGGGGTAAAATATATTTAAAAAAAAGACTATATACTGAAATAAAAAAATAAAATAAAATAGAAGATGCGCCGGGAGACAGTTGTCTGCAACAACGCTATGGCTACTCGTTCCTAAGTGCCTCGTGCTACTCGTGCAAATACCGTGTTGGCCTGACATCCTCCCCGTCCCTCATCATAAGACTGACACTGGGCCTGTACCTGTCTTTCTCGTTCTCTTCGGCGTGCTTGTCCTGCTTGTCCTTGTCCTTGTTGGTCTTCTCCTTGGCCTTGCCCTTCTTGGCGTCCTTGTCGTTCTTGTTCTCCTGGAAAGACCAAAGACATTTCGTTACTTATTGACGCCGGAGGAAAGTGCGTACAGTGGAGCCGCGGCACACCTTCGCCTTCTCCTTCTCGTCCTTGTCCTTCTCGCGCTCCTTGTTCTCCTTGTCGTTCTCCTTGTCCTCGCCGTTGACCACGGTGTCGGCGGAGGGCTCGGACGAGCTCTGGCTGCCCTGCACAGAGGGCGTGGGGCTGGTGCTGGTGGAGGGCACGAGCGTGACGGTGCTGAGGCCGCTGGGCGAGGACGGGGCGGGCGCGGCCTGCGCCGTGCCCACCAGGGTGTCCGAGCTGCCCGAGCTACTGCAGGTGGTGGGCGCCGCGCCGCCGTTGGGCACCGTGAGGTGCGTCGTGTCGTCGGCCTCGTGCTCCACGCGGATGGACACGCGGCGCACGGGCGTGCTGGGCTGCGGTGGCAGCTGCTGCTGCTGCTGGGCGCCGCACGCGTTCACGCCGTCGCGCAGCCGCATGTGCTCCTCCTCGACTGGAACACGACCAATCAGGCGTGAGTCTGCGCGTCAGCCACATTCCTATTCGATCGGCGCAGTACGCGCGATGGCTCGTGCCGATGAGTGCGGATTTGGCTGCCTCGGCGCAAAAAGCGTCTTTCGCCACCCAGACAGGCGATTCGTCGATTGCGACGAGACCCACCCTCTCGAGTGTGCTCTGTACTCACACTTGCGGATGTTGGCCCGCCACCTGAAGCCCTGCGAGTCGTAGCTGTGGCTGCGGTCACTCATCTCGGACCCGTAGCCTGGAAGCAAGTCGTTCCAAGGTTAGGTTCCCCCGGAGGGAATCTCCGTCTCAGGACCGGAAGGGAACTCACCGGACACGGAACTAGCGCCACTGGTCCTCCTGGGTGTGGCGGTGCTGCTGCGGCGCCTGTCCTCAAACATGCCGCTCATCTGGTCCTCCAGCAGGCTGCAAATAGGACACCGACGAGGTCAAATAGATTCGTTTGTGTAAAAATTAGATTTTCGAGAAAGCCTAAACCTTGTGGCTCTTACATGCTTATGCCATCCGTGTTGAACTCGGGCGGGTCGGCGTTGTAGAAGACCTTCTTGAGGGCCTCGAGCACTGTGACGCTGTCCGTGAAGACGCGGTACGTCAGCAGGAACGTGTTGAGGAAGTCGATGGACAGGAAGCGCAGGTCGGTGAGGCGCTCCAGCAGGCGCTCGGGGGTGGCGTACCGGATCTGGGGCACCTGCGGAACGGGGCGGGCGTCAGCGAGCGGCAGCGCGCGGAAGCAGAGACAGAACGGCAGCGTCCAGGATGGAGGCCAGGACAGGCCAGGACAGTCCAGGACAGTCCAGGACAGTCCAGGACAGTCCAGGACAGTCCAGGACAGTCCAGGACAGTCCAGGACAGTCCAGGACAGTCCAGGACAGTCCAGGAGCAGGCGGTGCGCAAGGTGGAGCTGTTCCGGCCGAGGCCGAGGGAGACGGCGGCGCAGATCGGGCCGGTCTCACTCACGTGCGGCAGGAAGTGGAAATGCTAGGCTCAGAAGAGGGACACCGGATCTAGAGGCATCTCGCAGAGGGGGTAAAAGGCCACAAAAGGAGAGGCAAAATCGAAAAAATAATCGAAAAGGCTTTGTTGTGGACGGGTCAGTTCAGCTCCGAAGCAGCTGTCGTCAAGAGTTTGAAGGGCTTCACGGTGGCAACGCCACAGACCCGATCCTTTATAAACCACAACAAAGAGCCTCTACCCGCCAACCGGGGCTCCGGAGAGTAAAAAGACCGCAAAAAGCAAGCGAACTGACAAAACGGTACAGAAAGAGAAGGGGAAGGGAGATAGGGTAGAACGCAGCACTACACTGCCAACCCAAACGCCTCCATGGAGGCATGGTCACCGTGTTACTGAGGTGCAAAAACAAACGTGGAAATGCTAAAGCGGTGAGTGGTGACCACGACGATGCGGCCAACACGGGTGTCGCTGTTCATCATCACCATCATGCAGTCCGAGTTCATCACCATCTTTCCCATGCCGAGTGTAGCAAGCAACTGTCTCCCAGTGCGCGGCGTGCTCAGTGCGGTGGAGTACCGCCTGGGAGTCGGACAGTGCCCAGTAATACACCATGCAGAGCCTGGCAGAGCCTCCCTGGGTCCGCGCGGCGCGGGGTATAGACATACGAGTCAGCCTATGGAACGGGGGTATCGCCAAAGACGGGGGGTAGCGATCACGGTTAGAGTAATTCCCTGCCCGGTGTGGTACACACCACTGGTCACCGGACACCACAGCGTGGCTGCGGAGGTTTCCACTGGGTCTTCGATGGTTTACCGGGGACCGCCCGTAAGAGAATGTGACCGGGGTGGCGAAGAAAGAATGCGATTGGCGATAATGACAACAACAAGCGCCGTGTTGGCGAGGGAATGCCCACGTTTGGGTTTTGCAGTGGCTTTGACCTGGCACCCTCCTTCCATGCTCTGCCATGCATCCCTCACCTGGTGTCCCTCTACGAGCAGTCCGTGAACCTGGATGACAACAAAAATATCGGTTACGTAGACCAAAAAATAACCGTTACTACAAAGAAACAAAAAAATCTCATTCAACGAACGTTAATGAAAGCAGATGATACTCGTTTGGTTTTCTTCTACGGTGTAGTATGGGTTCATTCCAAAGATAGTATTTAAAAGCTGAGTCCTTTGTGCGCTGTAGCGGGGAGGGATTGTGAATGTTGCGCCCAGGCCGTCGCGCGCGAGGAGGGGTGCCATTGTCGAATTCCGCGCAGGCTGCGCCGCAGGCACAGACGCACCAGCCCGCCCCGGCAGCCAGCCCCTATTATATTGTTAGGATACGCACTTGGTTTTTGGACTCTCGAGTAAAAGCTAGCTGACACCTTTATGTGTCTTTTAGTTGTAGTTTTAGGTATGTTTTTGAGTAAAGGTATCATCTGCTAAAAAAATAATAGTGATTTCTCGTGTATCTGCCATGCAAATATCCAGCAACAACCAACCGAAAACCAAACTGATGGTGCCGCTGGTACACACAACACCCACACCAAGGCCACACATTCATAGGCATGCAATACACTGTGGTAACTAGTCTGGCCGTCGGGGGCCGCGCACCTTGCACGAGTTGACCTGTGTCCGGCTGAACCTGATGTCCACGTCGTCCTTGAACAGCTTGGGGTCGTTCTTGATGGACTGGGGCATGGTGACGGACGATGTGTCGGAGATGGACATGTGCAGGAGGTCGTTGAAGTGCACGTTGTCCATGCACTGCGCACACAGACCCGTCACGCACCAGCCACTTGTCACGAAAAAGGGGAAGTCCTCTTGGCGGCGACCTACCTGTGTGATATCAGAGATCCAAGCTGCCTTCTCCTGCATGGTGGGGGCCAGGAGATGGACAGAGATCTGTCCCGTAGTGGCGCTGGAGCCAGACCCTGTCTTCACCGAGTCTACCACAATCTTAAAGTCCTTGTTGTGCCATTGGGATGGGTTGCCTCTGCTGGACGCTTCGCTAACTCCTGACGATTGAGAAGACATTGAACAAATGGACGATTCTGGAACGTTTCCAAAACGAGATCGTTAACATCGTGAGTCGGCCCGACTGCGACATAGGACGACGAGCCCAGTCAGAGATGGGTGGTCGAAACTCGCGGATCGAGAGATCGATTCTCGAGAAAAGGGCGCCATATTCTCGCGTGTGTTTCTGTTGTTTCCACGCCAAACCGTCAGGTTGCACTTGGAGTCGTTGCCGTTTCCACCGTTTCCACCACCCACGTCCCCCTGGGCAGCTCGCCGCCAGCGCCGGCCGTCGCCTTACCGTCGTCGTCCGTGGTGCCCGGGTCGCTGGGGTCCTCGATGAGCATGGCGTCGGCCAGCGGGATCTTGCCCACGTTGGGCACCAGGTGGAGTCGGCCGTTGGAGGCCCTGGGGACACGCAAGTGGCTTTGTAGGGACTCGTCTCTAACCCACTGGCCGCGAGGCCCGTTTCCGTTTCAAGGGGAAAAAAGTACTTGACAAACGCGCAGAAAACACACAAACATTACGAAAGCTGAAAAAAATGTATCACACGCGAATATGAAAAAACCGAGGAGTGGGTATGCACTCTCGTACTCTGTCCGCAACAGCAGGCGAAATAGTATGCGTTAGTCGAAATTCGACGGACTTCACCTATTGTCGGTCTATTTTAGGCAGTTTTTAGCTGAATTCCGAAAAACCGGTCACAGGTTTTGAGAGTGCATACCCGTTTGTAAAAAAACAAATCTTTTCACTCGACTTCAAATTGAAGCCATGAATAGAGTAAAACCAATCAATAATAAGGAAACCTCCACACCAAGCAACACCAACCAACCACACCATGCAGAGCGATATGGTAAAAAAGGGAAAACATTTTTGACTCATTGGAAAGAAAAAACAAGTTGAAAACAGTACAGTAGACGGAAGTTAACGTACAATTGAGCAAAAACACTCAAGTTGACGCCGAAAAAAGGACAAGCAAGAGGTGAAGGTAAAAGTAAACGCATACAGTAAAAGGCATGCCAGGCCGCTGCGATACCTGCAGGGCCGAAGGGGCGAATAGAATCACCTGCAGGTGAGGAGGTGGCGGTGTTTGGTGGTGCAGGGGGGCACGCACCTGGTGGCGATGATGAGGTGGTTCGAGAACAAGAAGCACTGCCTCACGGTTTCTTTCTCGCTCTTGAAGCTGGCCAGCCGAGACCGGCTAGTGCGCTTGTCATTGGGGAGCTGGATCAAAGTACCTGGACAGTCAAGGGGCTTTGCTTACTGCTTTGCGCCATCTCGCCGCAGTCACGTGTCGTGCACTGCCAGACTGGATGTCACCCTCACAACACCAAGAAAGGCATCTACCCCCGCGTTGTACCTCTCGCCGGAAAGGAATCCTGCGTCAACTTGGAGAGTCGGGCCAGCGAAACAGACAGAACGGGCGCCCCGCCGAGTGACGAGGCATGGCAAGAGGGGCGCAGATCGACTCGCATTCCGAGGAGAGCAAATATTTGAGCACTCCATCGCACCAGGCAGGCGGCATTTCAGCCGACGCCGCTTCGAAGCGGAGGAGGGAGGGGAGGGGGAGGCAACAAAGGCCGGGATCGCGGAGGAGCCCGCACTTGCCACGCAACAAGTGCCAAGTTCTGACGATGGAAAGTTTTCCCAGTTGAGATCGCGACGGGGTGCGATGCGTCGGATATCTATTCCTGACGTCGGCCGTAATGCCAGACAGATAGACGGACAGACAGAAAGACAGACCGACACACGGCGGACTGGAAAAAAAGAATCCCTGGCTAGACCAGGGCAGACAGTGATGGATCGCCGGAGGGAGAAAGTCGAAGCAGACGCGACTTCTGTGCGGAATCTTTAAATGTCGAGCGCTCTCCGCTGTGATTTGGGCAAAATCGACACCTCCTAGGAACAAGCGGCTATCTTCCACGAGCTTCCAGACACTCGGCTATCTCTCAGTAGCTTCCAGACACTCGGCTATCTTTCAATAGCGTCCAGACACTCGGCTATCTTCCTGAGCGCTTCGGAGACTCGGCTAACTGACTTCTGCGGAGAGGTTAGGGTTGTCCTTTCGATAGCGTTTTTCTTTGTTACACTTATCAAGACATGCTCACGCCATGATTTTAATCTACTCTGACAAACTTTTGACACATTTTGGTTAGGTCCCGGTGAGGGCATTTCAACTGGTTTAAAATATATACGCACCCAAACTCGGGAAGTGGGAAAAGCAGTTAGCCGAGTCTCCGAAGCGCTCAGAAAGATAGCCGAGTGTCTGGACGCTATTGGAAGATAGCCGAGTGTCTGAAAGCTACTGCGAGATAGCCGAGTGTCTGGAAGCTCTCGGAAGATAGCCGCTTGTTCCTAGGAGGTGTCGAAATGATTGCTTTTCGTGTTGTTGTCTCGATGTGGGCCGACAAAGTGCAAAGCGTTCCCATTACCGAGGCGGGGTCCTCTCCACAGTCAACGAGCCCAGTCCCGCTGGCTCTGCTGGGCTCTGCCCCGCCACCCGACGGACCGCACTGCCGCCTTATTAGCGCCCCAGGAAAGGACCGCCAAGGACCTTGAAGCACCCTGGAGGACGTCCCTCGGCTCGGCCCGTTTCCGGAGGGCGGACTCACCCTGCCTGACGAAGACTTGGTTCACGTCGAGCAGGATGTCGCAGCCCTCCACGATCATGCGCTCCACGGCCAGGTTTTTGCGGAGGTTCTCCGTCTCGCTGACCTGCGCCGAAAAGAGAGGGAGGGAGGGAGAAAAAAGAGACGCGTTAGAGGATGCGACAGGCAAAGCCACTCGGATGAAAAATCGTTAGAGAATTACAACGGGTGAGAGAGGGACTCGACCGTGAAACCTTCTGACGGCTTCTGGCTGCTTCTGGCCCTGACAACATAGGACACCATACCGAGCCGTTGGTGTGCGGTAAATTCTCGCATAGTATAAAACGCAAGGTTTAAAGTTGAAAGGGCTGAACTCTTTTGTTTTGAAACTACATTGTGTCGTCCTCTTCTTTGACACGGGCTTTCCAGCTCGAACAGCCTTGCCCGTTCCAGGTCCATGGCTCCATTCCGCTCCGTCCGGCAGGCCTCGAGCGTCGAGCGTCCGCCAGCCCGCCCGTACTCCTCGGATGCACCCGGACTCAAATGCAGCGGGTGCATCCTCAGAGGACGCGCGGGACAGAGGATAGCGGATGGGAGGAAGGCCTGCAAAACAACACACACACACACACACACACACACACACACACACACACACACACACACTCGCACCCACCTCGTCGTGCATCTGCCTGGACAGGTCTTCGAGTTGGTGCTGAGCGTTCATCAGGCTCTTCCTCTCGACGTGGTCGTGGGGCGTGTGGGCCAGCAGGTCCGTCAGCGTGGTCACGTAGCGAGGCACCTGGCGGACAAGGCACTCAGGAACCCATTTCGGGAAAACTCCATCGCCCCCCTTACGTCGTTGATTCTCGTTCTCCCGAACGAAGCCCCCCCCCCCCCTTTTCCCGGTGGAGGCTAACAGCAGGAGGCCAGGGCACGGCCACCACTGTGGTGGTGTAAGAGTAAACGCCGCGTGTTTCAGGTTCAAGGTTCGAGGCTGTCCTTTCAACAAACGGCTCTGTCAAGCACTCACTGTTACTTAGCGGGGTTGATGCGCACACAGGGGGCTCTTAGTCCGTGCAAATAGGACGGCTGCTCAAATAACTAGCAAGAAACAAAGCACGCGGCGCCACCGGGCGCAGAGGCTGGCAGCGAGCAGCCCTACAGCGGGCCTCCCTCCTCCCTCCCCTCCAGTGGGCGAATCTCATCCCACTGCCCGGAGCGCAACCTGCTGCTCGCACGTCGCCCAAGTTTCCACCACTAATTTTCTCGAATAAACAACTTTCTCGTGAGAGCCGCTCGCCCCGGGCTGGCGTGCCTGACGTGATCGTGTGTTCAACAGCAGTTTGGCTTCGGCCCCGTCGAAAAGGGGATCTCTCGGCCGGGACTACCCGGAGGAACGAATTAAATAAAATTACATTTTGCGGGTAATATGAAACCACAGCCCGAACCCTTCCTTCTCCCTCAACCAAACACAAACCTAATTGTTTGGCTTTTTTGAATGCGTGTCTCGGCTCCTTTTATTCGCCAGCGAAATAACTGATGGGGTTTCGATCCGGCTCGAAATAACCCTTATCCCACCCATCCCCATCCCCGTTCGCAGAATAATCCCCCGTGGCGAGTCGGCCTCGGGACGGCCGTCAAGGCCGTGAAGGCTGTAACGCGGTAAGTAGCTTGGAGGAGCGCGTCGCCCTGCCGGCCAGGCGATACCGCTGGCCCTACGACTAATTACTTTGAACCGAACACAGAACTCGCCGTTGAAAAAAGGTTGCCAAAAGACACCTGCTTTTTTCAGACCATGCATACTTCTGAGATTCCCAGCAGAAAACTTTCCAATCCCGGCGCGAGAATTCACCTCGACGAATTATGTCGTTTCTTTTCCACGTTTCTTGAAAAAGAAGGCAAGCAGGCTGGAAGGCAGGCCAGCCAGGGCCGCATCCCCAGTAATTACTTTCCCTCACCGCCAGGCTGGCCCTGCCGCGCCCTGCCGCGCCCTGCCGCCCGGTATGATCTACCGCCCTGTTTTATTCATAATTAACATTTTCCTTTCGGCGCAATGCAGCGAGGCGCGCCGCGATCGCCGCGCTAAACGCCGCCAGCCACATTGATTATTCTCAGGCGGGCAGGCAGGCGGGCAGGCACACTCTAAATGTTCTACAGTGAAGATTCTCCATATTATGGTGAAAATGTTCCATATTATGGTGGTGCAGCTGACTTCGTAACATACCATCGAGAATTCACTGTACCTTATGGAGATTTTCACGAATTTCGTTGGTATTATGGAGAAAATCTCCACCATATTATGTAGGTGCAGCCTTTCACCGTAAGACATTTACTGTGCAGGCGGAGCGCCTCGACGGCGAAGGCACGCGCCCATTTAATGCCCCGCAATTTACCTTGCTCGCTGCTTTTCGTGGCAGGGGTTTGATTAAATTGAATTGGCGGCTTGGAGGCCTGGGCGCGAGGCCCGGGAACGGTGGCGGTATTCAAAATCATGGACGCGTTTTGAGCTCCAGCGTCACTAAACAGGACTCGAACCCAACGTGTGACCCCACCAAAGGATTGCTCTCCGAAAGAGCAATCCTTTGGTGGGGTCACACGTTGGGTTCGAGTCCTGTTTAGTGACGCTGGAGCTCAAAACGCGTCTAGAGTTTTGTCCGCGCGGCCCACTGCGCGGCGTGGCGGCGTGGCGGTGTGGCGTACCTGGTGCATGGGGTAGGTGAGGAAGGTGGCGAGCGAGCGGCCCTGGCAGGTGGGCTTCTCCTCCAGGCGGTGCACCAGGGCCGCGAAGTTGGGGCTCTTCATGCACTCCGTCAGCACCTGCACGCTGTAGTGGTGGTTGCGCACGTACTCCTGGTAGATGCTGAGCATTGGCAGCAGCATGTCGAACAGATCCCCTGCGAACACACGCGTTTTTGTCAAATCGTTTCTGCGTCCGCCGTGACTCCCGCGAGCTGGACCCGCTTGGCCTTGAGGGCGTGTGACAGCGTGTGACGGCGTGTGACGGCGTGTGACGGCGTGTGACGGCGTGTGACGGCGTGGGACGGCGTGTGACGGCGTGTGACGGCGTGTGAGGGCGTGTGACGGCGTGTGACGGCGTGTGACGGCGTGTGACGGCGTGTGACGGCGTGTGACGGCGTGTGAGGGCGTGTGACGGCGTGTGAGGGCGTGTGAGGGCGTGTGAGGGCTTGTGACGGCGTGTGAGGGCGTGTGACGACGTGTGACGGCGTGTGACGGCGTGTGACGGCGTGGGACGGCGTGTGACGGCGTGTGACGGCGTGTGACGGCGTGGGACGGCGTGGGACGGCGTGTGACGGCGTGTGACGGCATGTGACGGCGTGTGACGGTGCGACGCCCAGTCCATACGGAGGCCATAAACGGGTCGTATCGGCCGGACAGGTCCCCGGTCACGTACTGCAGAGCGTGCCGCAGGGCGTGCAGTGGCGGGGTGCGCTGCGGGCTGCGGTGCGGGGAGCGGCGCGGACTAGCCCCAGCACCAGCCGTGCATTTCAAGCCGAATCCCCCCTCCCCCGGAACACACCGCCAATCACCGAGCCGCTTCAATTCAATGCGGTCTCCTCTGGTCCCCTCTGGCCCCCTTGCGAACCCTTGCAGGGCCTGGCCCGGCCTGCCCACGCAGCGTACAGTGCACGTACCGAGTCGGATTCGGCCTCCGACTCACGACAGTCACGACCGCACCCCAACCACCAGAGACTCCCACAGTGACTCGTCTTTCAGTCGGCCGCGTCGTCGATTCCCATTGCCAGTGCCGATTAAATAAAAGCAACAGGTTCCTCCGGTGGATCAGGTGTCGCCGAGGCACCAAGGGCAAGGGCGCTGAATGGAAAAGAGGAGGCGCAAGGCGGCGAGGGTGGCGGGACGCAAGACAGACACAAAAGTCAATGGATGGCTTCGCTCCGACGCTCCGCCTCGCTCGGCTAGCGCTGCTCGGCTTTGCTCCTTTGCTGTTGCCGTTGCGTCGTCACGCCATTGGGACCCCGGCGGGGACCCCGGCCTCGCGTTCAAGTCGCGGAGGGCCCGAGGCAGTGCCCGAGGCAGGGCCCCTAAGAGGATTACGCTCTACGAAGCCGAAGCCCGGCCCGGCCAGAGCCAGCGCCTTTGCTGGAGCCTGGAGCGCCTCGCGCCTCCCCTCGCCCGCCAGGCCGCCAGGCCAGGCAGAGGCGCACAAAGAGGAGCTTGGGGGTGGGGCAGGCTGGGGCAGGCTGGGGCAGGTCCTTGGCTACGCGCTCCGCGATGGCCCGGTGGGTGGCTGGCCTCCTCGCCAAGGACACGCGCGTCCTTGACACAGACACGGCCACGTGTCCTCCCACCGGGTGGGCCCGCCCCCCACCGCCCACCCACTACTGGCCGCCGTCGGCCTCCAGCCCGCTCCAGCCACCCCACCGGCCGACAGCCTCCCCCACCCTACGGGCCGCGGCGACGCAGCGCCGCGCGGCCAGGCAAATGGAGGAGGCCGCTGCGCCGCTGCCGCCGTGCGTTCCCCGTCGAGGAAAGAAGGCGAGGCCCCGCAGGTAACTTTGCCAAACGAGTCCCGTCCGGGGCGCACAGTGGGCCAGAAGACCGGCGCAGGCGGCCAAAACCCTACACTGGTAAAACTGGAGCGTAGTTGTATGCTTCATTCAAGAATGCAACTACGCTTGAAGACTTTACGCTTGACGTCAAGCGTAGAGAAGAAATTCCCCCATGTATTTAGATAGGCCGGAGAGAGGCGAAATGGAGAACTAACGCTTCAAGCCGAGCGTAATTCATCTACGCTTGAAGAAAGGCGTAGAAGTTCTACCAGTGTAGACGCGTTTTGAGCTACAGAGTCGGGACTCCAACCGAACGTGTGACCCCACTAATGGATTGCTCTCCGAACGAGGAATCCATTGGTAGAGTCACTTCGCTTCGAGTCCTTTTTAGCGTCTCTGGACCTCGAAGCGCGTCGAGAGTTTTGGCCGCATGCGCCGGTCTTCTGGCCCACTGTGCACTGCCGCGCGGCCCGTGTAGCGGAGCTAGCAGCAGCGCCAGCAGCAGCGGCGTGGGCAGAGCGCCTGCGGTCGGGGCGATAGGCAACCCGCGGTGCGGGCACGTGGTGCGGGCGGTACTGCGGCAGGCGCTCGAACAACCAACCCGTCGCTGAGCCTGCGGCTTGCGGTGTGCTGTCTCCATCGCGCCGCACCACCCTGCCCGACGTCTCGCTCGTCTCGCTTTACTCACCCAGCACGAGGGTCGGCCACGACTCCATGCGCGAGGTGAGCCCCTTGAGGAAGATCTGGTGCAGGAACAGGACCGTCTCCGTGTTGAGGAAGATGGAGTTGACGTCCTCGTGCGAGCAGGGCGGCTTCTTGGAGGACGCGGCCATCTTGAAGGGGCGCAGGAAGCAGGACACGAGGACCTCCATCTGCTCCATGTACTCCTCCTCGGCCTCCACCATGCGGAACACCAGGCTGCGGAGTGGAGCGACAAATGTGATCATCCCTCATGCGGCGCCCATTGTTACTGCCGACACAAAACGTCCGCCGAGCGGCGCACTTTTCTGGTTAGCCTGTACTTGGTCCTGCACTAAAAGGGGCCTTTTGTTGTTCGGTAATCGGTTTACGATGACCCCGGCCGTCGGGCCCTGCGCCCTGGGCCCTACGCCCTGCGTGGGCCGCAACGGCCGGAAGGGCTGGTCCCTTTCATCCCGCAGCCCTACGCGTAGCTACGCCAGCCTACGGCCCGCTGCCTTTGTGGCATGCATTATGCCGTGTGAAGGGCGTAGCGCTGAGGCTGCTACGCTAGGGCCCAGGGCCCAGGGCGCCGCATAGCAGCTCAAAATGTGTTCCTTTCCCCCACCTGTTCCGCTTCCGCATGCTCTCGGCGTGCGGCGACTTGATGTACTGCTCCACGATCTGCTTCCAGCGCCGCCGGCAGAGCCAGCCCCGGAAGAAGCTCTGGACCTTCTTGATCTTGCGCAGCTCCAGGGTCTCCCCCGAGTCGTCCAGCGGCGTGCCCAGCCCCTCGGCCGAGGCGGCGGGCTGGGCCGTGGGCATGCCGCACACCTCGGGCCGCAGTTCCTTCTTGAGCGCGCAGAGCTGCAACACCAACAACAGGCAGCCTGTACAAGCAGTCCGGGCTCGCCGTCGCGAAATCCGCAGCGCCGTCCGCGGCCATGATGACATTATAACGAGCGGTGCCACCAGCAGGCTGATTCCGAGAGTCGTTTTTGTCTCTCTCGCACTTGTGGGGCGTTCCATGCAGGTGCGAGAGAGACAGAGCTACGAAATCAGCACCATGCCTGGCTGCCGGATTCAGCTACCGGAACGGGAAATGAGCAGAGCGGGAATAAGGGCTGGCAGGGTGTTTTGAGTCAACACGGAGCGGTCCAGGATTGGGGTACACACCGCGCGCTACACCCCCTCCACCACGCGGACCACGCCTCACCGAGCGGCGGGTACATCCGGAGGGCCTTGACGCGCACGTGCATGAATCGAAAAGGAGGCCCCACGCTTGGAGTGCCCGAGCCCCAACCTCCGCCTGCCTGTCTGTCTAACTGCCTGTCTGTCTGTCTGCCTCTGACTGCCTGTCTGACTGACTGACTGTCTGCCTGCCTGTCTGTCTGTCTGCCTGACTGACTGTCTGACTGCCTGTCTGTCTGCCTGACTGACTGTCTGCCTGCCTGTCTGCCTGCCTGTCTGTCTGTCTGTCTGCCTGCCGCTGCCTGTCTGTCTGTCTGTCTGTCTGTCTGTCTGTCTGCCTGACTGCCTGTCTGTCTGCCTGTCTGCCTGCCTGTCTGCCTCTGACTGTCTGACTGCCTGTCTGTCTGTCTGTCTGTCTGTCTGTCTGTCTGTCTGTCTGTCTGTCTGCCTGTCTGTCTGACTGTCTGCCTGTCTGTCTGCCTTTGACTGTCTGACTGCCTGTCTGACTGATCGAGGGGCATTCATGCGTCCCGAACGGGACGGGAATAAATTAATTAATATCCAAAACGCGGGCAGGGGCTTGCTGCCGCCGTGCTGCCGCCGTGCTGCTGCTGCGTGTGCTTTGACGGGCGGCGAGGCGAGGCGAGGCCGGGCGAGGCAAAGCAAGGGCCTGGAACGGACGGCCGGGGCGCCGGGATATACACACGCAGCAGGCGGGCTGTGTGCTATGCAGAGTAGACAGCAGACGGGCACGCCAAAAGACGGGCGCGGCGTTCCTCCAGCTGGCCTGCGTCGGCCCGCTGGTCCAGCGAAAGCACGCCAAAGCACGCCAAAGCACACAGAATGAAGCAGCACGATGATGTATCACTGGCCAAACGGGAAGGCGGCGGCGCGCCACTCCGGGCCCCTCTCTGCTTCCCTTTTGGGCGCGCCCTGCCGAGCCCTGCTAGCTTCTCATCCCTTGCCCACCGCATCCGCCAGTGCGGCCCGCCGAGCTAAAGACGCTCCGGATGAAGGCCGGAGTGGACTCCTCCAGACTCCTCCAGACTCCTCCAAAGCTCTTCCAGTTTCCTCCAGGCCCTTCCAGAAGTCGAGTTTCTGTCGACGAGAGGCCGCGGCCGCGACGAAAGCCTGCCTCTGACCCAATTTGCAAAACGCTCATATTACGGGGAAAACGATGACATTACGTCCATATCTATACCGTCCAAAAATATTTATTAAGATAATGCGGCAAAGCCATTTTTGTTTGCCGAGTTAAATGCTTACAGGGACAATTTTCATTATATCAGACAAGAACAAACTCTAGTTAAAAAATTCCTTTCATGTCGTTTACTTTCACCTTTATCCAAATTTTGCCACTCTGACGTCATCGCGAACTGGTATCAATGGTTGTTACAATCATCGCATCGCGTTCAGCATGGCCAAACTCGCGAAAAAATAGACCTACGCGGGACGCGACACGCGGCAAGCAATCAAGACACATTTTGTTTCTGCCAAACAAAACGCAACAAAAACAGTGGCAGCAAAAAATGAGGCATTGATGCAACAATGGAATCGGACGCGGTACGTCCCGCAGAGATAACGTCCGAGTTTCCGCTTTCATCGTCCGCGATTCGGGCAATAGCGTTCCATTTTTGTCCTGTTGCTGCCGGTTTTGTTTTATTTCTTTCGTTGGTTTATTGCTCACGCTGTCCGCGTGAGTGGCATTGGTGGGGCAGGGTCACTGCAAAAATGTCAAACGCTCTCAAGTTATTATTGCCGCTTTTGAGAACCGCGCTGCTGTGCAAACGTCGAGAGAATGAGGGAGATTATGAGAGAGAGAGAGAGAGATAGAGAGAGAAGAGAGAGAAGAGAGAGAGGAGAGAGAGGAGAGAGAGAAGAGAGAGAGAAAGAAGAGCACTGGAGAGACAACAAGAAAACCACGGGATCTTTGAATCAGTCTCTAGCTCTGGAACGACGCACCTAACCTAACCAGGACTGACCCCCGGTTGTACGACCTTTTTTGTCCGACCTGCTGAAATTCGTCCGATCTCGTTCCCGCTGTTATATTTTTGTACGACCTCTTTTTGTCCGACCTTACCTCTCTTGCATCGCCATTTTTTTCCCCAACCCACGGTTTGTCCAACCTGTTTTCGGGAAAGAAAAGAGGGGGATGGAGGAAAAGGGAGGGGAGGGAGGGTCCGTGACGCCAGACAGGTAAGCTACGAACAACTGAACCAACAACGAACCTAACCTAACCTTAAGTCCAACTGCTCCGTCAAGACCTTACTCGTCCGGGCGCTAGGATACCATCCTAATTCGCTGGGGTGCTACGGAACTATCCTAACTCCACTGAAATTCAAAGGGTGAGACATCTGACCGATTTTCGGTGATACAAAAAGTATGACCGAAAAACGGTCATACACAATGTATGACCGAAAAACGGTCATACACAAATGTATGACCAAAAAAAAGGTCAGACATCAGCGAGACTGGCTATTGTTTAGCTTGGGGATATATCAGCCTTTACCCGTGATACACTATAAAGTATGACCGTTTTTCGGTCATACATCGAAGTATGACCGTTTTTCGGTCGTACATTTCAGTAAGACCGTTTAAGCGGTCAAAAGTATGACCTTTCTATTTTCAGTGTCGCGGGAGTAACAGGAATTGTGAAGTAGTGAAGAGCACCTGGGTGAGTTAGGATAGTTTCCTGGCACCCCGACCAGTTAGGATGGTCTCCTAGCACCCGGGCGAGTAAGGATGGTTTTCTTAGGAGGGGTCGACTTATCTAACCAAAACTAACCTAACCTGACCTAAACTAATCTAACCTAAACTAACCTTACCTAACCTAGAAAGAAGTCCATCCATCGCCAAGACTGCTGCCAAAACTGTCTCAAGCTCTCATCTTTCTCACGAAATTGGCTGCCCTCTGGGGCTGCAGCAGGCTGCCTGGGGAGACGCTGCTCCTCGTATAAATCAATGGGCCGTGCCTGGCCGTGCCGTGCCGCGATGCGCCTTTGGCTGCCTTTGGCCGGGCTGTCTCGGGTTTACAGCGGTGGATCGAGGGCGCCCCCAAGCGCGGTCGCCTCGGCTGAGGCTGTTTTATTGGACAACAAACCGTGCGACGCGCCCGACGCACCCGACGCGCCCCGGGGGAGGCGAGGCGAGGCGAGGCCCGTTCGAGTGCCTTCGGCTCGAGCTTCGGCTCCCGAACGGCCCGAACGTAAATAGCGGCCGCTAATATGGCAGCCACGCGGCAGTGACGCGCCGACCAAGATTTATTTCGAAACCAGAGACGCGTCGCGCGAGGCTATGTTGTTAGCCCGCCCCACCCGCCACTTGCTTTGTCCGCTCTCGGCGTGAGTCGAATATTTATCAGGTTATCTCCTCTCTGTCTGTATGTCTCTCTCTCTTTCTCCCTCTCTCTCTCTCTCTCTCTCTCTCTCTCTCTCTCTCTCTCTCTCTCTCTCTCTCTCTCTCTCACACACACACACACACAAGGCGGGTATTTTTGCAGAGCCGACGGGACGGTCATGGCCAGACTCTCCCCCAAGTCTTGCACCGACTGCGTAGCGGGCTTCGGTGCGGTTGCGATATTAAAAACCCCCCTCTCGGTCTCAGTGCCGTCAGTGTGGCACCAAAGTAATATCGGAATGGCGTAGCGTATCAAACCGCTCGGCGGCGGCCGCTCCTTCTCCATGCAATGCAGTCCAGGAGAAGACTCGCTGGCCTCGAGCACGGCTTCACTCACTCACTCACTCACTCACTCACTCACTCACTCACTCACTCACTCACTCACTCACTCAATCACTCACTCACTCACTCACTCACTCACTCACTCACTCACTCACTCACTCACTCACTCACTCACTCACTCACCTCGGCTCGCAACTTCTTGATCTCCGAGTCCAGCTCCTCGCAGCGCTGCGTGTACTGCCACTTGGCCGTCTTCTCGCTCTCCACGATCTGCAGGAGATGCAGGTGTTTCTGCTCCAACTCCTCCTTCTGCATCAGCACCTTGTTGAAGCTGCAACAGATAGCCGTCCGATTAGCAGGCAGAGTTTTCCGGCTGCTTTTAACAATTTGAAATGTGAAATTAGTTGCGATCATTTGGTCGCTGCTTACCTCGCCTCCCGGATGGCCTCGATCCACGTCTTGCAGTCCGTCTCGGACGACGCCCTCAGCTCGTACTGCCGGATGTTGTCTCGGCGGTAAGACACGGCGAAGCAGTATTGCTGAAGCAGAAGAACAAACAAGATGGACTCACGCTCGTCAAGACGAAACGAAAGAATCCTCCCCGATTCAGGACACGGGTGTGTGTCTGTGTGGGTCTGTGTGTGTTTGAGTCGCCCGGGCAGACAGGCAATTGATGACCACTATATTGGATTTGGCGAGGAGGAACTCCAGCAAGGCCAATAAGTGCTCCTTGGCTGCTCCCGGAAAAAAACCCCAGTCGGACACGACACGGTTTAAAAAGAACCTAAGTGCATTTCCGGCCGGAATGCCCTTTGATTCCTCGATGGACTTTACACGAGTCACGCGTTTGAATGGGCGATAAAGGTGAAGCCAGGCGCGCGTTAACGATCCACCCGCACCTCGTTCATTCGTCGCTCACGTTTTACGAGCGTTCTCAATGTACACGCCAGCTGCGGCGCGTTTTAACGGTCAATGTAGAACCCGCGCAAAATCACGGCACTGTAGGTCCGCACTGAGGCTCACCGTCCGCGAGAAACGAGCGACAATTTTGGTGTTTCTGAGGAGCGGATGGGGATGCCGGTCAAAAAGTAGGGGTTGGGTTCGGTTATGCAAAGCTCACTGAAAGATAGCTAAAGGCCAACCTGTAAGAAGGCAACTTTTGCTGCATCATCCCCTCCTGGACCCCTCTCAATCCGCCGCCGGCCCACCGTGCGCCGTAGTGTCGACACGGCACTCCATGATGGGACAGTGGTTGGAAATGTCAGAGAATGTCCCCGGGATTGGGATGATGACGCTCGTCCCCCGAGCCCTGGCTGCCCTGCCTGCCCTGCCTGCCCTGGCTGCCCTGGCTGCCCTGGCTGCCCTGGCTGCCCTGGCTGCCCTGGCTGCCCTGGCTGCCCTGGCTGCCCTGGCTGCCCTGGCTGCCCTGGCTGCCCTGGCTGCCCTGGCTGCCCTGGCTGCCCTGGCTGCCCTGGCTGCCCTGGCTGCCCTGGCTGCCCTGGCTGCCCTGGCTGCCCTGGCTGCCCTGGCTGCCCTGGCTGCCCTGGCTGCCCTGGCTGCCCTGGCTGCCCTGGCTGCCCTGGCTGCCCTGGCTATGCCCTGGCTGCCCTGGCTGCCCTGGCCTGCCCTGGCTGCCCTGGCTGCCCTGGCTATGCCCTGGCTGCCCTGGCCTGCCCTGGCTGCCCTGGCTGCCCTGGCTATGCCCTGGCTGCCCTGGCCTGCCCTGGCTGCCCTGGCTGCCCTGGCTGCCCTGGCTGCCCTGGCTGCCCTGGCTGCCCTGGCTGCCCTGGCTGCCCTGGCTGCCCTGGCTGCCCTGGCTGCCCTGGCTGCCCTGGCTGCCCTGGCTGCCCTGGCTGCCCTGGCTGCCCTGGCTGCCCTGGCTGCCCTGGCTGCCCTGGCTGCCCTGGCTGCCCTGGCTGCCCTGGCTGCCCTGGCTGCCCTGGCTGCCCTGGCTGCCCTGGCTGCCCTGGCTGCCCTGACTGCCCTGGCTGCCCTGGCTGCCCTGACTGCCCTGGCTGGTCCTGAGTCCTGGCGCAGGCGACAGGCGGCGGCTGGGCGGCGCGCTCAATCTTTGCTTCCGAAGCAATCACATTGAAGAGCAGGGCGTCGCGGTCGCGCCTCGGGCAGCGCCACTCAACCCCAATCAATAGCGAGACAGCCAGGGTTGAGGTGGCCGGGCCGGAGAGAGAGAGGCCCGTCTGATTGATGGCTTGGACTTCCTTCGGGGCTGCCATGGCTGGCTGGCTGGCTGCCTGCCTGCCTGCCTGCCTGCCTGCCTGCCAGCTCCGGCTGCCTGCACACACCGGGGCGAACCCAGTTCAAGGCCAAGCAGGTCGGCCTCGTGTCTGCTTCCTGCCAGAGTCATCCAATAATGGAGGCCTCAAACAGGCAGGCATCGCACTGTCTTTCTCGCTGCCCTACGCTAGGCCCCGTGAGTCCGAGAGAGATGGAGCGAGTTCAGGTCGAAGGTCGATTAGCAGTTGCTGTCGCCTTGCCAGAGGGCCAGCCGAAGTAGAGCATGTGCACTATCAAAACTACCGCCAACCGGCCCCAGGCTTGCTTAGGCGGAAGTGTCGCTTCTTCTCGCTGTTCCAGTTCCACAAGCTCCCAGACCCAGAACCGCTGGCGGGACAGTTCGGGTCTCGTCTTGAACAGAGGGTGGCGGGGCGTAAGGCGGCCTGGGTATTCATATGTTGTTTACCCCTCTCGCCGACACGAACACAGAGGGGAGCTGGCTTTGTTCATCCACAACAAAGAGCAAGTTGGCTACTGCGTTTCCGACAGCAGGCTGGGCGCGGCGTGCGGCGCGATGGTGGCAAGGCGGGGCGGGCCGGGCAGGGCCGGGCAAGGCAGCCCGCGGTCCTTTGGGGTTGCATGCCGTGCCGTGCCGTACCGTGCCGTACCGTACCGTGCCGTGCCCTGCATACTCGACGAGACGAGCAGTGAATGATTCAGGGGCGAGCGAGGGCCGTGGAGCGCACCACCGCGCGCACGGACACAACGGAGTCCTCCGAGAGGAGCGCATTGGGGTTGTTGTGCCGGGGGCGGTTGCAGTGGCGTGGGGGCGTCGCCTGCGAAGCAGTAGAGCGAGACGGAATTACAGTCCCAGGGGGTTTCGGGGGTACTGTGGGGCGATAGCACCCCCGAATGACATCTCCAAAACGCCTGGACCCTTAAAGTCACCGCTGTGCGGTGCGCAGGACGGGGTCGCCGGGGTCAAAGCCACAAGCCAGGCGGTGCGGTGCGGCACGGCACGGCGGCACGGCACGGCCAGACTTGTCGTTTAAATTTACCCCGTCGGCCTGGACGGCCTGGACGGCCTGGACGGCCGCTCACTGCCTCGCTGCTCAGTGACCTTGAACCCGGCAGCCCGCAGCCCGCCGCGAAGCGCGAAGCTGTGCCAGCCTGTCCGCGGCACGGAACCGCGACCGCGAGGCCGTGAGGGAGGAAGGGGGAGGGAGGGGGCTTTTGAGTGTCATGCAGCAGTTTCAAGCGCACACACGCCCACCAGACCATCTAAACGAGAAATAAAGGGCAGCTTTTTTGTAGGCTTACCGAACTGAACTCATTCGGCCGACATGAATTCATGGAGCCAAAGGGAGTCCTGCGATTGACTTCTCTTTGATACCCCTCCCCCTCTTTCTCTTTCCACCTTGTTGCGGGTCGCTCCGCAACGACCGGCGAAGCGCCCCCCCCCGCCCCGCCCCGCCCCGCCCCACCCCGCCCCGCCCCCCCCCGCCCCGCTATGCCTTTCTGTCCGCCTCTGAATGCAGCAAAGCGAGCAAAGCTGGGTGTTCGAAATGAAGACGTGCACGGCCTTGGCGGGGAGTCGCCGAGCGCGTCCGTCGTGAGTCGGTGAGGCCGGTCCTCTCGCCCGTGACGCGGGGCGGAGGCGGGGCGGAGGCGGGGCGGAGGTTGGGCGGGCCGGGGGCGGGCTGAGGGCAAGCTCGCACTCTAGGCCAACGGCAGACCTGTTGCCCGGGAGAAGGCCTCGAGGCAACCAACCGCCACCGCAACGTTCTCTGAGGCCGCGCGCGCACACACGCACACTGGGACACTCACAAAGAGAGTCCTCCAGGACTGTGTCCCCGACGCCATGACACAGGCCGCATTGAGAGCAAAGCGAAGGGCAGCAGGGGTTTCGCCCCTCCCCTACCTAGTTTATCAAGGACATCGAAAGAGCAGAGCCTAGTGAGTGAGAGAGAGAGAAAGAGAGAGAGGGAGAGAGACAGAGAGAGAGAGAGCGAGAGAGAGAGAGAGAGCGAGAGCGAGAGAGAGACAGAGAGAGAGAGAGAGAGGAGAGAGCGCGAGGAGGCTGGGACTCGAGGGAGACGTGGAGGGGGGAAGCAGCCAGGTAAGCGACTGACGTCAGCGAGTCGGGGGAAGGGGAGGTCCAGAGAGAAGGGGTGGCGGAAAGGACGCTGGCCGTGGGGCTGCCGTGGGGCTGCCCTTCCCACTCTCTCTGCTCTCGCTTCTCTCTCTTGTCTACTGCGGAACTCTTCAGCCCGCTTATACTTTTCCTCTGTAGGGCTTTTGAACCGAAACAAAATTTTACTGTTTTAAATTTAGCTTCCCAGCTTTGGCTTTTAGTTATCGGAGTACGCGAACACAGTGACATTTCTATCAACAGCCTTCCGCCCGTTGAGTTCAAAATTTTTTTCAGCTCCACGGAGTTCTTTTACTGTGTCGTCCTTTTATATGTGCAAGAAGAAAGCAATAGGAAATTGCGCCAAGAGGCCTGGGCCCGTACAAAGATGGCCGCGCTTTTTTCGACCCAGTCCAATGTGACATTATTTGATCAACATCTGGCTGCAGCAATCTGGCCGCCGATACACACAAAGCCCACCCTGGACTCCGAGCGTGCCGCGTGCGACTCGGGCGCGACTCTGGCTGCCGGGGCAAGGGCGATCCGAGGCAGTGACTCCAGCGACCTCTGCGGTTCGACTCGGTGACTCCAGGGTGGCCGATGAACTCCGCGCCGGGTTTCACTGCGGCGGACTCGGTGCTGGCGTGGCGGCGTATAGCGAGGCAACAACTTAGTTCTCAACTTGTTGCGTCGAACAGGACGGTGTGCCGCGTGGCGGGGCGTGGCGTGGCGGGGCCGGGCGGGGCGGGGCGGGCGCCGAATAAGTCTGATAAGCTGCCGCCGGGCAAATAAGGCAGTTATGAAGTGGAAGCGCGCTACGCTGTGCTGCGCTGTGCGAAGCGAAGCGAGGCCATCCGTGGCGTCCCCGCGGCCCCGAGGCCCCGAGGCACGGAGGGACCGTCACGATCGCGATGATTGGCATCATTTGCCGGAGCGCGACTCCATTGTCGGCGACCGGCAGCTTTCCGGGACTGTACTGTACACGGCGCGGCGCGGCACCTTGGCTCGGCCGACACCAGGTGCGTGTCACCGTCACCCTTATCCGGGCCCCGCCCCGCCCGCCCCCGCCCGCCTCAGCCGAAGGGAGCGACAGGGCCGACAGGTGGCGACACGGTCAATCAACTGGCAGAGCGGCGCGCCCTCCCGGCCCGGGTCCTCCCCCGCCACCTGCCC